TGGAAGGGTGCGCACGAGCATTGAAAGAATTTCAGTTCCTAGACACCCCGCAAGAGAGAGAGAGCACAATCATGTGAAGAGATCTCCCAATCATAAAATCAGGCTAGCAACCAAAAAAACCTACGGTCGAGGTGGTATTGGCGGACCGGATTGTGTTGGCTGGCGACTTCTAGGACGAGAAGAAAATAAAACAACGTAGTAGCAAATTCAACTGCTATTGAGTTTCAAACAAAACTATAGTTAACAGCAATGTGTGCTAGAAACCTGACCAACAGCAGCGAGTAGTGGAAGGATATAGAGATGCCTAAGGTTTTTATACCTTCGGTGTCTACTTAGTGGTTAGATCAACAATCTAGGTATGCAGTTGAAAGGTGTGCACCGCTAATAATTGAAGTAGGTATCTCCACATCCATTTAAAGTCATCAGAGAGCGCCATCATCCATGCAAACACTGGACGGGGGCATATTGGTAAAACGGTGGGGATGCGTCGCTCTAAATAATAAATCAAAAGGCAAGATCGTTTATTCCTTCTCCTTTCTCATGCCAAGAAGTGTGAGAAACCATTTTGCGAAGTCGTTTTCTAATGACATGGGAGATTTGAGAAGAATAAACACCCATGGAGGTGGGAGATGACAAATGAGTACTAGACAGAGGCAGATCAAAGCGGAAGACGGTGTGCTTCGGCATTACCGCCCACTTACTCGAATATGGAGGCAAGAGTTCGTGCAGAGAAGCCACCGGTATTGGCAGACGTCCCATTGTTGTTGTGACCAGTCGGTGTTGTAGAACAGCCCGAAGATGAGGAGATGGGATCGAATGCCTTGAGGCCTGGATTGTTGCTGTGCCAAGAGGAGGAGGAGGAGGTGGAGGTAGTGGTGGCAAATGGGGGAACCTTACTGTTAGCGATGGGGCCGGCATAGAGGTCACCAGCCGAATTACTTGAGTGTATCGACGAGATGGGCTGTGGAATTAGGGGAGCTGAGCGACTGCAGTGCGAGGGTGCAGAGTGAGAAAAGCAAAGGCACCAGGTGAGGTACAGTGGTTAGTACAATCCGATCAAAAGAAAACGGCGAAGCTGACCACTTGGTTAAACTACTTTCTTGTGAAGACAAAGCAACTGAGTTAATGACGTGAGGTAATTCAAAGTATTGGTAAATAAACGCAAAGTGGAAAACAAAACACCAGAGTTGTGTCAGAGGCAATCAAGTAATCAACAAAGAGGATGGAGTAAGCTTCTTTCTCTATGCATGCGTATATACCTGTCATTATGCTCCGCAGACCTAGCATGATAGTTAAAATGCTAGGTCAGGTTAAAAGCAACAAGTTAGATCCGCGACTTCTAATTTTGTAGTCTTGCTTAGGCTTACGATGGACCACGAAAAGACGTGTACAACCTATTTACAGGCAATGAAAGCCGAATCAGTTTTCTGAGGCAACAGACTAACTACCAATTAGTGATATTTGCCCACCGTGGATTAGGCTGTATTCTTCACTTATAAATTTGTATGATGTAGTCCGAGGTTAGCGATAATCACCACCTGTCAATAACCTCAAATGAGATAAAGGTTGAATAATTGTCGTTGAGATATCTTTATGCCTCATCCACACTTACAGATTCCTACGACTTCATGTGTATTAACAATGGGGTCTTTTCATAGTCTTACACACCTCAACAGATGCTAGGAGGACTACACCGGAGTCCACCAAACTGTCAAAATACCACCTTCAGTTTCAGTGCAATGGGAAAAGTTGCAAATATGTGTGCATAAAGAAGGGGGCAGGAGTGGATTAAATGAGTGAAAGGAGGGTGCGATTGAAGCTTACGCAGGCACAACCGGCGCCTGAGGATTAGATCCAGAGGAGTTGGATGGTCGTGAGGAGGGCGGAACGGGTGCATTGCGAGGCTGTGGTTGCATATAGCCCCCTCCTCCCCCGCTTCCCATGGAGGGCAGCAGGGGACTACCACGCTGCGGCCCAACTGAAGGCCGGGAGGGCCCCGAACCTGATCGTGGAGAGCCCCCGTTACCTCCACTTTCCTAAATACGAAAATGAAACCCAGTATTTGAGTTGTTCGCAGACTCGCCTTTGTTTCAGATTTATTTGTTTGGAATAAGAGTCGTTTACTGATTCACGCCAGTCATCCGTGATTGGAGGTGGTACAGGCGTGGTGACAGTGTGAGTGGTCACATCGGCAATGATATTTAGAGCCTCCTTCATTGTGTTGTACATCGTCACCATATCCTGTTTTCGTCGCTTCTCCTCCTGAGATTCTTCCATCAAACGATTCTAGACAGGAAAGAACCAAGAACACAAACCCAACCGTACAGTCACAAGCATAAAAAAATGAGATTACGAAGTCCCCAGAAGTGAAGAAATTAGAAAAGACTTCTACGCATAATAAATTTAGTTGATATTTTGAATCGCGCTTCTCAATACATGTTAAATCTATCTGAAAACCTTAATTTTTATGCCGTCCGACATTTCTTCGTTAGTCACAAAAAATATCCTCGTGATATCTAGCAAGCTCGCCGACCTCCATAACTGCGAATATCCGTGAATAATACGATTCACACCTTATGTCCCCGATTGTAGTACGAGAATGACGCCTACGCCACAGCCCACCATTAATCCATTTCATAAGGCTGATTTGTTGCTTTCAGATGCAATTCTACCCTAGCATAAGCGATCCCTTCATCGTTACACTTTGTCAAGGCATGACAGAAGTAACAATCTGACAAAAGCTAAAGCATTAACACCGAATTCGTATACCATACCGTATCCAGAGCATAGAGAGTTGGAAGTAGATCGGACTTCAGGAATTTCTTGACCTACAAAGAAATTGTGAAACGTGGTCAGAGGCTGTTATTTTGCAGTAGGTTAGCACATAAGTACAACAAAAGTGACAACAAGGAGGCTCACATGAACAGCTAAGCTTATCCACTGCCTTTTAATGCATAAAACAGTAAGCATAAATTCAAATTCAGACAAAAGCTCCCAAAGCACGAGCCAGAGAATGCCACAACTCACATCATCGATGAGGAGGAACATCGTAATCTTTGGTACCAAATCAAGTTGGGTCTTGGTGACAATCTTCATGTATGACTGAACCAAATTTCGGATGGTTTCAACCTGGCGCTTGAGAACCGGATTGCTATCCTGGTTCAAATCGTCATCCTGGCAAAGAAAAGTAAAAAACAAAGTCTGATAATTTGAAACATCACAAATTAGGATAGCCAGTGTGAAATTCTGCCCATTGAGCTCCAGAAGAAAAAAATACTCGTCTCTACTGCTTCAGAAGCATCCATGCCGAAACACTCCAGGAGGGGAGTGTACAAAGCTGCCAATAATAACCTAGATCAGATCGTGGCGCACAGCAACCTGAGAGGTGCATCACTCCTATAGCGCTTACACCGCTTCCCCGTTCGGTACCCCCTGTGGCACGTCGACGCAGCTCAAGAGCTTGCGAAACAAACGCAATCCGATTCGATCGACTCAGCACTTTCAATAATGGACAGCAGCCGACCTTAAATCAACATTACCCATCTACTTAATAATTGCCAAGTAGGGTTGTCGGTACAGAATACACCGCGCATACCTTCTCATCCTCGAGATTTTGTTCCGACTTCTCAGGAAAAACACCCGCTCGAAGCAGAGCCCCTTTCCAGTTGTCGCGGGCATCCACAGTGTCCGCGGCCAGATCAAGCGTTTTGAACTCCTTATAGACGTTCACTTTAGGGTCAGAGTGGAATAGGCTGAAGTTCGGTCGCCGAGAGAAGAAGGAGGTATCACCAGCTCGCTGCTTCAGACCCTCCAGCGGCAAGACAAACTTCTTTTCGCGTTCCTTTATTAATGCGAAACCCATCATGCATTTAGATTATGGAATAAGAAAACAACATTAGGTCAGAGGATCTTGCATTTACTTACTTCATCATCCCTGTACCAAGTGAGAGACTCGGTGGATAGAACAAACCAAAAGTACTTGCTACCTCCTCGAAGTAGCTTGCCATTCAAAAGTGTCAGCCAACCTTTGCAGATGATCTAAAAGGGAGGTAGGTGACAGAAGGTGCACACAAGCATGTATGTACACGCATAGGTCCATACAAACAATGCATCAAAAGCGCACACAGTAGTGGTAAAGTTGGTGGGAAAGCCCAGAAGGAGTTTCTACAAGTTACTCCTTCGATGAGTGATTTGAGTTTCAAAATCAGTTTCTTCTGGTCAGTAGTAATTTTATATCTCATGATGACCACAAGGTCTGAGTAAATCAAAGAATAAGAGGCATTAGAAGGGAACTATCATTGTGATTAAACCTTTCAGTCAGAAGACGTGAACAGAGAGATCGTGTTTTAGTGATGCAGTAAGGATCTGCTCTGTGTACTAAAGTATTTATTCAGAATTAGAAATCTTAATTTCATGTGAACTTTGCCCACTGGTGGACCCGAGTGCGATGAAGCATGGAAGCTAGCCAAAGACCACACACTGCTTAACAGCGAAGAGCAACATTGAAAGCAACGCGCATATCCGTGGGCCAAGCAAAGGCAGTAAAGGTGTCTACCGAATCAAACAAAATATATAACATCTCAAAGTGGTATTTGGAGTAATAAAGTAATATGCCTCGTGCATTTGAATTAAAGTAAGACAGAGGGCTTATCTACCATGAGAAGAAAGATCCGATTTAGTTGGAGATTGGAACAGAGAACTACGTTATAAGCCTATGACGCATTAGTGTACCAGACAACTTCGTTACATGGAGAATGGAACGTGCAGAAGCGTCGGTAAATCTAGAATACGATAACTGGGGAAGAATATCAACACCAAAGAAGGAAGGTTAAGTCGAAGTAAGTTTAGAATATTGGCGACCATGATCTGCATTGACTTGAATCGCACAGCAGTGCCCAAAAAAGGGAGCAAAAAAGAAACCAGTTTTTGGAAAGAGAACAATCCATAAATGATAGCTTGCATGCCCCCAGAGTCAAGTCGAAATTCCAACTCGCCATCAGCCACTCAAAGAGTTAAGGTGGTTTCCGGGTCCTTTGTGTGCCAAAATGGTCGGTTTGCTTCACAAGAGCAGTTTCTCATCGGAGAGTTACTATATTGCCAAAGGCTATTAGATTTGAGCATCACACTCACCATACTATAGTTCAAAAACTCCAAATAGTAAAATTTCTTTTGCCACCATCAAAGGAGAAATGTTAAACAGGCGAGCATTGACAAGTCATCGTCCCAAAGTTACATCTTACACGCACAAATCACACCTGTTCGCAAAAACCACGTCAAGATCCAATCCAGGCAATCAAAACAGACACGCTGGACGCACCGACGAGACAAATGACACACTCGCAGTAGCCTAGGTGACCTTAATCCAGTCGGTCACTTTGTCCACGCAGAGCTGCAAACGCCAGTCATAAGGACGCGAGACAGGAGCTGGGAAACTCAGCGACCCAGGCACCCATGGAGGGGGGAGGACCTCCCTACCATGCTCAAATTTAAACTATCGCCGCAGCACTAAGCCACGAATGACGAATTGCGAAGCCGGAGCAAGCAATCAGAGGACACACAAACAGAAGGCGAAGATCAACAGACAAGGTAAAAGGACATACAGACAGGTAACGATGATGATGTAAGGAAAAAGGAAAGCAGGAAGCGGGATCGCTAACCGCTTTGCCCTTGAGACGGCGAAGATAAAGAAACTGCAGAGAAGTGAAGAATGCATAGCCTCAATGTGAGAACAACACACATCTAATAACTCGACTTGGGATCCCCAAGTAATACAAAATGAGGGTAAATGTCACAGACAGATGACTCACTTGGTTGCCAACTTTCTGCTTTGCTGCTTGATTCGCACTCTGTGGATCCGCGCTGAAAGAAGGAAAAGAAAGGTGTGCAGCGAAACTCTATTTTCATTGCATCCTTATTCATGTGGATGGGCTACGAACGCCAGCCTGGAGTAGTATCCTTCTTTCATATCAGCAAGCATTACTGAGACTTTTGTAAAAGACTAAGGACACAAAAACAGTGCCTCCAAATAATGCCTTTGCAAAAGATTTGCAGAAACGTAATATCACATCAGTTAACAAAATTCGAACCAGAAGTACACAATATTGCCAGATCTGAATCAATGCAAAACAATTCCTAAGCAGCTGTCTCCCCCTCCCCCTGCCTTAAGCCTATGTAGTCTGTTATAGAATGGATAAAAGATAGGAATCATTATCACTGTTGCCTTTATACAATGGCTGCTAAACGCAGTCCTCACAATAATTCCTCAAGCCTTAAAAGTGAATTAAGTGTTACCAGCAATGTCTACCTCAAATAGTACTCTTCATAGGAGGAAAATTTATCTCATAACTATGCTACTCCTTCCCATTGTGATGGTCATAGTTCGGTAGATGGATCACCACGCTCAAAGCGAGGGGTTAAGCACATGAATGCGGAACCATGAATTCACAATTTCAATACCATCATACTTGCCCACCTACAGCCACAGTACTCTTCCATATGCTAGTAGTGAACCCTCAGGCCCTTTGCCTGAGCAAAAAAGAAAATGCTCAATTCCAAATGAAGGCTACATTAACAGTGAAATGGTTATCTGTTCAGGAGGATTGTAGCACTATCCTGACGTAACGAATTTGAATGACAACCCCTTAAATTCCAGAGTGATAACCTTTCCACACGAATTTACTACCTAAAGATAGAGCCAGTAGAAAAGAAGAATGTGGCAAGCAGAGATTGACTAAATCAAAATGCCTCACTTGTTAAAGCCTATAAAGTCTTCGTGGTTAGTGTTCATGTAGGCGAGTTGGTAGTCCGTGAGAGCTCGCAGTTGATCCTTGGTTTTCACCTCTGACTCCCGAATTCGTTGGTTAATGGTCCTCTCCACTTCGTCAGCGAGAAGCGGATAGCTGTTCATCTGTCAATAGTAGAACCAACCTCCTAATGACCTTACAAATGAAAACCTCACTGCAAATAAATTTCACCGCTTCAACAACGAAGAAACAAAGTCCGCAAATGAGAACATAGGTAACACTGAATTGACATTGGCAGTGATGCTACTAAAATAGGCTGAAGTGGCTATTCCATACAGTTCCAAGCCCAGTGCGGTATTGGTATGCGACTTTTAGAGGGGAGCATCTATTCATACCAGAATATGGGACTGTCAAATTACACCAACGGGCCAGGGAGTACTTTATTGCCTACCTGGCCAAGACAGGTGTGAACAATGGCGGAAAGTTTAGTCACCACCCTATCAACGCAGGATAGCGAGGGCGCCAAGAGACGACCGATGCGGTCTCGCACGATCACATCAAAGGCCTGGTCTGGTGTGAAGAGACCACCGCTGCAAAGGCAATACAAAGATGTCGTTAAATAATGCGCAAAACGTAGTCAAACCTGATCCAATTCGAACCTGGAAGAGCACATTCGACATACCAATACAAGACGAAATTGCCTTAGAAAATCAATCCATTTGCCGGTGAAAAGTATGCCTTCATCACACTTGTCAGGAGGCCAAGATCCCCCTTTCACCTTCGATCGCACAGGCGAATGGTGGTATTAACGTGAAACACGGTATGCAGAGAGGCAATACCGATAATCAACGGCAAAGGAAAGATAAAATTACAAGGAATTTACGCCGAAGATAAAGGAAAATGGAGAGTGAGGAATGCACTCACTACTTTCATCTCACTTCAACAAGTAAAGCCTGTGGTAGAAGGTAGGAGTCACTGAAGTGCGGTACATGAACATGCACCACTTTACCATGACAGTGATTCCATTCACTTCCCCATCGAGTTTCAAACATGCCCCACACTTTAACTAATCACATGCACAAACAACGTAGTGAGACCTGGCAAACACATGTAAACATTACGTGCTGATCGTCATGAGATTCTAACACACAAGCTATAGGACACACACAAATGAGTGAATCAGAACACTTTTAGTCACATTTACTTGCTAGCATGCATTTGCCACACTAAGTGGACCTCAGAACTCACCGAATGCCCTGGACGTTGCGAATGGCGTAGGCAATCTCGCGCCGAAGAGCCTTTTCGTCAATTTGTATCTGAAAGAAACAAATTACACCAAATGTCGTTAGCTGGAGCCGAGGACGACTAAAAGCCTAATTCTTAAGAGCGGAAAGAGCATTACAGCAACATAAGCAACGGTAAATAAACTGGTAGTAGAGGGTTACACACATCGAGTTGCATGAGATTGAGGTGAATAGCGTAGCTCAGTGAAGCCTACGTAGTTTCGCTTCATTGTTACAAAGGAGACACGGCACAAAGATATAGTATTACTTGGATAGCAATCTTACTGGAGCCTTATGCGTGCGATCCTTGCTTCAAACTGCGAATGGCAGTAAGCACAACAAAGCCCAACTCATTCACTCGGACCCAGGTCAAGGGACCACTCCAAAAAATGATACAATCATAGTACGACAAAGAGACCAAATGGGCGAACAAACGTTAACTCTAGGAGCACAAGAGCTCAAAGTCTAATCGTCACACCGTGAAAACGTAATCATGTGACAGACGCGAGTGCGCACATGCACACACACAAAGGCACACTATCGCAAAATATGCGCATGGGTGTGGGTAGGTATTCGTGGAAAAAGCAACATTCCCTTAGCCTTTCTTTTTTGTGGGTTTAAGTGATACCCAGTCGAAGTGCTCAAGTGATTAATGACGGAAATATGAGGCTCGAACTGTACCATAAACTGGGCCCTCAAACACGGAACTCCAACGATAACGACTAACTGACCGTAGGATCCGAATGTAGCGCAGACTTCACACTCTAAAAAAGACCCCCCAGAGATGTTAGAGGTAATGTCTAAACTGATAACAACTGACTGCTGATTAAATTTTCCGTTGGGTAAAACAGCATGAAATTAGACAGTTGTAAAACGTACCATAAGGAGGAAAAGATGCCTTTCCTACCAAGTACACCGCAACTCCAGACTTCCAACGAAATCTCTTGAAGATGCATAAAGCTATTAATTGAAGGGGCTAGAGCGTGTTTGTGCAGCAGAAATATGCCTGTTTTAGTAACTCCAGCTTTAGCTGGAACAACAGAGCGAGCAGATTTGGCAGACTTTCTCGAACAGTGAATGGGAGCAGCGCAATAATTTTGCCAAACGCAGGCTAACGAGTAAGACCACATGTGCCACACGACACTACATCTGGTGAGGTATTTGCATATGATGTGAGATTCTCAAAGTATGCTCCCAATGTGTTATTTAAAGAGCACAATGTTTCACTTCAAAAGTTACACCAGGAACAGCCAATCTCACCTAACACGTGGTAGGTATCTGAGGTATTCAGGGATGGTAAGGAAAAGTGAAGAACCAACCAATAAAACTCAACCACTGATGATACCGTATTTAAACGACTGTCAAAAGTTTGTGCTATCTCTCCCATGAGAGATCGATGCAAACGTCCACCCATCAACGTGAATTCCAGCCTCATTGAGGGAAGGATGGCAGACGTGAGGGTACTGGGCATTATCGCACAGATGAGTGATTAAGAAAGTCATATAAATCAGTAAACCAGCGACCTGAAGATTCAACCTACTATGAGAAGAATCTCAATTCATGCCGCACCCAAAAGTCCCAAACCATTTAAGAGACTTCACTCCTAAAAGTCATCAAATTACAGCATCAAAAAAGGTCTCAATAAACGTATGCGCGGCAATTTTTAAGCGGGCTAAAATATCAGCCGAGTTAGCCCGTAGAATGTCGGTCTGTCGGAGTGCACTTGCGCCACGTGCCCTTAAAAAAGTAGAGCCTATACTAAGCTAAGTCTGCACAAATTCTGCACCTGAATGAAGGCTAAATAGCAAAATCCGAGGAGTCAACTACTGGATATCATGGAAATGTCACCACGAACTCGTACCATTGAAAGGGACCAGAGATAGTCAAAGAATGCCCCTCTTATTCTACTAGACAACTGTCCTTGCCTGAGGACGATATGCAACAAACTTCACTAATGTCCTAAAATAGTCCATTTCTTCCAAATGGCTCCCCTGACAACGTTAACCCAATGCAAAGGTGAACAGAAATTACATCTCCATGGTAGAAACGGACATGCGAACTGAATTCAGGCCACTTCTGTGACTAGAACGGCATAAGGATAGCTTATTCTTCGTGACCCTGTGCATAAAAAACTGGTTAAGTCAAAACATCACACCTAGCTTATGCTACTGCCAATGACTTGAGAACACAGTGGCACATCGCAACTACCGATCTGGAGAGAACCCAAAACAGCCCATATTCGATCCAGTGTCACGAGTACAATAAACAACCTCGTTGAAACGCATCCGTCATCAAGCAACACATCAAACTAGCATTTTGAAATCACCACAAGAAAACAGAAAGTTTAGGTAAAGCAAGGAAGACCATCCAGACCCAAAACGCAAGTGGTGCTGGCTTTTATAAGCCGCGCATAAATTCCGATAGCCAGTCAACAAAACTAGTGTAGACGCACCTCTATCAAATCCAAAGGGAAGCGTTCATGGAAGATGCGATTGATTTCAGCTCCGCCCGAGAGAGAATCAACACTGATAGCCCCAGAATGACCATCAATGGTGTTGACAAATTGCTCCGAAAAACTGTTTACCAAACTAGAACGAACAAAATTTATTTCATTTAAAAGAAATGCCAAATCCCAAGCACGTTCCCTCTTGGCATAGAAATTCCACAAAATATACGACCACGAGTTATTGTTTCCCACATGTTGTTGCTATACTTGTCAGCAGCTACGAGTTTTAGAACGAACAAGCATAATAAGCTCCGAATGCGATAGAAGAGACTAATTGCCACCAAACACAGAACGCAACAGAACACAAAGTAAACAAATCGCTAGACCTGTGGCCGTTAGTACTGCTGAGTTACGTTAGTGGGCCAGCAAATTACAGGGGTTAAAATGACAGGAAATTACTGATTCAAGACAATAGCTAGTAACCAAATGAGTAACGCAATGTTACTGAATTAGAGCCTTGGTTTTGTAGGACGGATCATCCGATCGGAGGCTTTTGAAAGCTTCCACGTCCTTTTCCAAGCTAAGCATTTGTGACTGGAGACGATTGCGCAGAGTTGGAAGAGTGTCGCGAATATGATTTGTCAACTGCTGGTTTAGAGTAGCCTGAAGATAAGCCGTTCCCATTCTATCCGCCATGTGTCGATAAGCAGGATGCCCAAGGAAGAATTTCCGTTCGCTTGCTACAGCGGCCTGGATATCTTTTCGACCATCGATATCCTTTTGACTTCGATTCACGATGCCCACATAGCCTGAGAAAAAAACGTTAGAAGCATCAAACGCAAACGCAGACAACAACTGATAGGAGTTGATCATCCGATTAGTTAGTGCAATCATCACAACGATGCAAAAGAGAGAAACCCACCTCGGCGCAATGGTAGAACCTTATTTTCCAAGATATCGCGAGCATCCGTTCCCGCATCCATCAGATCCAACTTTGTAATAACACCAATCGTACGGATACCAGTTGGATCAACTTCCTTGGCGATTTTTAATGCATCAGAATTAGCTAGATCTGTATTAGCAGGTGAAACAGCCAGGATTAGTGTGTTTTCTGGCTCTATAAACTCAAGAACCATGGATCGGATCTGGTGCTCGATGTCCTGAGGCTGATCCCCAACCGGAACTTTCGTTAGACCAGGCAAATCAATTAAGGTGAGATTAAGAACTGAAAAATAGGGCGTTGGAGCCAGGGCAAAACATGAATACCTTGAGGCGAATAGATGCGAAGATTTATAGGAATGTTGGAGATGCCTTTGTTTTTTCCAGTTACACGATCTGTTTCTGCTTCAATCTCCTTTCGAACATCCTCGAAATTAGTAAAGCGCTTGTTCTTTAAATGTAGAAACTCAGCGTACTCTACAGAGAACATATTTTGGCTGGGTAAACCAACCTGTGTTGCTATTAATGAGTTGCAGAATAAGTGGGCGTCTTGTAACGATACCAGAACCACGAGGAAGAAAATCTCTTCCAACAAAATTTTCCAACACAGAACTTTTGCCAGCACTCTGAGAGCCAACAACTGCAATTTGTGGAAGATCCAAATTTAACGGCACACTCAGAGAAGAGAACGCATCTTGTAACTTATTTACAAGAGGGATGAGCATTTGCATCCCACGATTTCCACTCATTTTCCTAAAACGAAGGCTAAAGCGTCAGAAATCGCAAAGAGACGAATGATGACAGAAGCTTATAGGGGGAAATGCCAGTGAGATGAAAACCAACCTAGTCAATTCGAATAAACCTGAAGGATTACATATGAAAATTAGAAAAAAGATAAGGCTAGTACCGAAGTTATCTCATGATCGCCAAAATCTATTCTTTTTCGGTATATGAACTCTCAAATTTAAAAAAAATATCAAATTTGTTTAAAAAGCTGGTAACAATCCAACATCATGGCTTACCAGGTACGTGGGAAGAATTAGCAAAGAATAAGCCTCTACAAAATATCAAACTAGAAACCAGGAATATGATTAATTAAACAAACGTTTATCAACGATTCGTTAAGGATAATGTGCCTAAAAGACATGATAGAGCAAATAAATGTTTCATTAAACGTTATGACTTGATGATTTGGATTTTTTATTTAAAAAATGAATAATAATTTAGCTCAATGCGTATCAGTGATTCCATGGCATCGTACCGTAACCGATTCATAATCTCTAACCCGTAAAGTGTCGAACGAACAAACTAAAATGGACGTATAGATGCGTAGAATTCTTTTTTAGTAACTAATTACATCAAACACGATTGAATACTTGCATATGTACATGTAGGGCAAAAGTGATTGCATGACTGGTTCGAAGGCAGTTGTCAATGTGACGCAAATCCTTAACGGCATTCACGTAATCGAGGCGGAATAAATCATATGACAAATAAACGCTTACCTGTCGATGAATAAGCAAGGTGTAATACTGTTCTTTACTTCTCTTCTTCTCGGTAGACCATTATCACAACGCATTCGCTGCCTCAAGAATAATTTGATGCTTTACTTTTCGAAAGCCTGCATGACTGGAGGTAACTTTTGTGCATTTTTTTCTCCTGTGCTCGTAGACCTGCCCTTCGAACTAAATCAGAGCCCAATATATTATTCTCCCCCTTTTTTACATTCATTCAGCCCAACTTAACGCCCCTTATAAAGTGAAAAGTTTCGAGCATAATTTTTTGTTTGTGAAAACCCTGACGTCTGACACGTCTGACCCCTGTCATATGCGTCGGCCTTCGGACAAAGCTCAGGCCCTATACCTTTGTTCTCCCTTGAATACTTATATTCAGCTCCACATAATGCCTTCTTTTACATGGCGGCAAATCGTAGGATGCTGCAATGATTGCAGCGGGTAGCGAACGCGACATTTTCGCCGACTTTATCCTAGAATCCTGCGTCAATGGCAGGAGAATCTATGATTATATCACAATAAGAGGTTGGGAATGATGTCTGTGTGTGCCTTCACCTTGTTCATTTGTTATACAGACAAGCTATTACCAATTGAAGCGACACCGCCGTGCGCCGTCTTGAAAAGTATCGTGTCGCAATTTCCCCTACTGCATCCGTGTATAGGCGTCGAAACTGACACTACGGAACTCTTTTTATACGGGACAGTGTATGATCTCGTTTGCTTTGTAACACCTCTGCCTTAGCTCAGAGTTCCCCTATCCTGTCCTGAGGGGAATCGATGGTCATTAGATGTATGCTGACCTGAGTACTGATCTCAGACGGAACTTGGCTCCACGTTCATTTGAGCTGTTGAGGAGACTATGAACAGTTTCTTAATCTTATGGTAGCTGTCGAATGGTGCGGTTTGGTCGTGAGTGCTTTCTTGCAGTACTGAATATGTTGTGCTGGCATTGATGACGTCGCCCGAAAGAAGAGAGGAATGTAACATCTGTTTATGTGGTCATCTGATATCCAACGGTTGCTTTAAGACTCGTCTGACCCTTGTTCGCGAGTGTTGGTCTTTGGGGAAAACTCAGGCCTGGCCCCTTTGTCCTCTCTCTAAGGCATGTAGCGTAGCTGGAAGTTTTAGGACACTTCACTGAGACTGCCCAGTTGTTAGTTCTAATGGGGCTGAGAGAAGGCATTTTAAATGGACCTGGAGTTAAGCTTGGTCGAAATCCAGAAACCAGAGTCCGGAACAGCAGCTGACTATCACCTATTTCCAGAATATAAGCCTGGCACAGATATTTATCATGGAAGTGGCATCAAGCATAGTCTAATATGGAAGGAGATTTGGTGTAATGTCACCACAGTCATCAATGCGCTGATGGTGCGATAATTGATACTATAAAGTCAATAGTTCTTCTGATGTTTCATCGTCGTGTCGCTTCAGCTGACACGGGTGCGTGCAACTGCTTGTGCTTTGGCATGGCTCAGGTATAGTTGCTCTTCTGCAAATTCAGCATAAGAGATGTCTCATTCTATGGAACGGAAAGTCTCAGGACGTTACAACTAGCTAACATGTGGACTATAATAACGTGATGATGGCAAACCTTGGAATCGTCCTCAGATCATCCACCATGGAGAGGTTAGAAGTGCTCTCCACTGTCACAAACGGTAAAACTAGTGTAACGTATCGATAGATAATTGGTTGTAGAAGAAAGTAAAGAATGGCTGCATGCAGAGATGGGTATCTATGGTTTGGCCAAAGGTCCTGCCAATCCGGCCAAGAGCAAGTTGAATGTCAAGGCGACCGATTGTCATACAGTTAGTCAAATACGCGAAGAACAAAGAAGGCATTTAAAAGATTTAAGAGAAATCTCGAATCTGTCCGGGCTTCCCATTTGGTGTTGCCTAAAGACATGTAACTAAAAAGAAAAGGAGTCGATATTGCCCAAAGGTGACCCAAAGGTGGGTCCTATACCAGAAGTGTGATGGCTTTAAGCAGTCGAGTAAACACAGCATTACTGTATATAATGATACCTCCTGACTCAAATTTACCTTGTTGAGCCTGTTGCGCATTTAATTTCTGGGTAATGAATAAGTGAGGTTGTTTTTGTTCATGTAACCATTGGGCCTACACAATATGGTACACTGGAGGGTATTTTGAAACCATAAAATGTATCAAGGATTTGTATACCTCGCATAAGTAGTACAAACTTTAAGGTGTTATAAATAAATTTGTAAGATCCAGGTGGCATTTAAAGTAGTCGAAAAATAAGAAAGAGTTTAAGTCCGAAAATATCGTCGAATGGACGTAGCTCCACAAGGCTGCAAAGCAAATTAAGGTAAATAGTATGTTGTAGTTCTCCGAGTCTTTTTGCTAGGTAGGAGAAGGCATTAAATTGGGCTGAATGGACAAAATTTTAGGAGCCCTGCCTTAACCCAAAGAACAGCCCGCGTGCCCAAGGACAAATCAAATGCCAAAGCGGCAGTCAAGGATCAGGTGCTTACATGAACAAAGAATCGTGATGCAACTCCTCCTCTCTCCTGTCGGGCATCGCCAACCGCACCACTCGACAGCTATCATGGGACTGAGGAACCGTATTTAGTCTCCTAGACGACTTCAACTGAATCTAGAGTTACGTTCGGTCTGCCAATTAGTTTTCGGGCCGCATACATCTGTTGACTATCATTTGCTTCAAATATGTAACAAGGAAAACCGGATATATCACTGTCTGTATATAAGGCGAACCGTAGAATCATTTCTGACACCTATGCACGGATGGAGAAGGGGAATTTCCGACACGACACTTTTCTAGACGGCCCACGGTAAGGTCACTTCAGTTGTTAATAGCTTTTCTATGGAATACGGAAATAAGGTGAGGCCAAATGCAGACGTCAGTCCCGATCCATTCGTTGTGAAGGATTCAAAGATTCTCCCGTCATCGATGCGAATGTAGCGTGCTAGGATAGACGCTGTTAAAGATGTTGGGTTCGCTATCCGCTACCACCGGCGCAGCGTGTCGAGGCTTCCCACAGAGTGGAAGAAGGCAGTAAGTGAGAGTCAAATACATGGATTCTAAAGGAACTAAAACGACTAGACCTGAGCGTCGCTTAAAGGCCAGCCCACTAGTACTGTAATGCTTTGGTTATGTAATTGCATGGCGTTGGCGGTAACTTTATGATTTGTCTGGCCCTTAAGCACATAAGCTGGACTTCGGGGTAGGAAGTCTCGGTACGCTACAAATACAAAGACGAGAAAGCCAAACAGTCACAAAAACAAAGCGTTGTGATGCAATCTAAACTAATAAGATAAACGAGACGCACTTGTTTAAAAATCCATCAGGGCTGATGGGAGTATAAAATTTTTCACCCAAGGGATGAGTTGAAAAGCAAAGTCTATCCGATGATCAGTGAAGCATAGCTCAAAAAAATTAGTCGTTGTTCTCTTAAATGCTTATATATTCCATTTGCAAAATGAGGGGAAATCTTAAGCTTTAAGTTGTGTCTTTGGATATGACCTAACATACAGGTTATATTTTACCTATTGCTGTCACTGTCACAGACTGTCTAACAAATTTCTTCCAGCCAGTTAATTTGGGCGTACGTACTCTGCATCTCTGAGATTAATCAATGCTAGTGGGTTATGTAAATTAATCAGGTGCAGTGTGTCCAAACAAAATTGTATGCATGACCAAGATAAAATAATAGCAATATTTCATTAACTCTTATGCTATAAATATAAATATTATCATAAATTATGGAGATATCTTGTTTAACCAAACTGTCATGGTTTACATACTTTCTATTGTATTGGTTAATCAGCTGATCGATAGATAACATTTTAGCGTAATTGTCTATTAGAGCGATATTAACACTTCCATCCTTCCGCTTCTGTAAGAAAGTGCTTGATGATACTGACGCCCTTGTGTCTATTTAGGGTTCGGTAGCTATTGAACGCCCAGTTTTGTAAAGAATTGTCCTTGAATCTGAACATTGTTCTGTTGGCTTGAACCTTTCGCTGCGAACCTATTCAATGTTTGAATTGAATTTCGTACTCCCATGGCTCCTCAACGCGCCTCTTCGCGCACAGTTGTAAACAAACAGAATAAAGGATCGTCTCACAGGTAAGGACGTCTTAATTGCTAATGCTCTTTATAATAGACATCACAGCGCATCAGAACAACGAAAGGCATGTTCTACTACCTTTTGTCATTATTTTTCGGTGTATATAAGCATTATTTTTTATTGTCAAAGTTATTTTCCCCAACAGTATTCTACTCGTCTTAACCCGCCATCTTCTAATCACTTCAACCGTGAAAAGGTCAGGGCAGCTAATCTAGAGGCTGGACCATCTCGCGAGACTCACTTCATCCCTAAGCACTTTGAACTCTCAGCCTCTGACCTTTCCAGTGAAAGCTCCCTCATTGAAACCCCGCGTTCCTCAGAGCAGCTTTCCTCCTCTGTTTCCAATTCCAATTTAACTGACGGCACTTACTATTCAAAGCGAAGGCGTTTACAAACGGAAGTAGATACTTTTGATTCGTATCCCTCACATCAAAGCCATCATCAATTCACCGGTTGTGCCCCTGGACTTGAGGAATTTTTTAATCTTGAACACTCAAAGTACTCCAGGTTTGTTTTGCGGTGGATTTTTTTCGACATATTAATTTTTGTGTTCCCTATAGAGGCCCCATATTCCAGGATTTTGAACAAGAAGTTTCTGCACGCTCCAGTCTTGAGACGATATTACCCAGTGAATTTTCCAATCGCGGAAAAACGGGTTCCTGTAACAGCAAAAGGCTGTATGCTTTGACATAGTCCCTAATAGTTAAATATCTCAATTTGGACATTTTTTTTACCTTAACCACAATTTTAGACGGGGGAAAGGGCATGTCGGTGGTAGTTCAACGGAGGATATACTCATTGATCAAAACCAACAGGCAGACGTTGGGCCATACTCATCGACTGCACAACAGAAAGACGTTGAGATGCCAGCTGATCTAGGTGAACAGTCTCAGAAGACCTCTGCAGCAAAGGTTCTAACGCGCGGGTCGCGGAGTCATGAAGACACTGAGGCACCCAGTGGAAGTGGTGGCGGCGGTTCCAGTTGGTTCCGATCGTTTACGTGTTTTGCTAATGCCGACGAAGATGAACAAGTCGCGATAGACCTTTCTGGTATGATCACCTCGATTTGAATTGTGAATCTACTTTTGAATTTTAACATCGGAATGATTTTCTCGGGTCTTTATATGATGGGCGTAGTCTTCTCTAAGTAACTTTGGTTTTTGTTCGACTAAACCTCAGTTTTGTACTGTGTTCACCATAGTGCTGTATTAATTAACTACTTGCTTCGGCAAATAATGTCATCGCTCTTGCCCGTCCATTGGAGTTTGCATTCTAAACTGACCCATTTTAGCTTTCTTTTGCTCTCAGTCTGCTAATTATTTTTCATCACTGAACACTAAACGGTGGGCTTGTTTTTTTTTACTACTACCTTTGGATTGGGTGCTGTCGTTCTTGCGCCATTGCCCAGTTATGCATTTTGGCGGTTTGCTACCGTGTCTTGAAATAGTAGAAGTTGTCGGTCGAACCGGCTAAAACTGTAAGCTTCTATGGCGCAAAACATTGAAACCATTGTTTCGTTGTAGATGTCATTTTATGCTCGCTAATAATAAATTTTGGAGATACCTTCCAGTTTTCAGCAGGTAAAACATGAAATTATGATCTAAGACCTGCTTTGTCTTAACGGTGCCTGTAATTACTTTGCAATCGTGACAGGTGCGAAAGTTACTACCATTATTATGCTATTGATATCCAAGATTGTTTTCCCTCCATGTGTGACCCTTTTCAACCCTGACGCTATGCCTGCACGTGTGTATGTACGAGAACCCAAACTTGGGCTTCCTCTCGGTGTCTAACTTTTGACATCACAAAGTCAATAATTGGTTCTAGTTGTAGTGTGTAAATGCGTTTATTATTTGGCTCGTTGTAAGAACATGGATTTTGGAAGTTAGCAACGTCATTTTATACCGTTTTCGTTTCCATGCGCACTTTTTTTCGCTCGCTACCTTCTTAGCTCACCCACTTTTCTGCCATCAGGAGATACATGCTTTACTTCGATTTCTTACTCCTTTTCACTGCAGTCGTAACCCTATGTTTATGTTTGAGTTTATATCAGGAATGGGCTCTAGAGTGATTATGGAAAGCACTATTTCTAAAGCCTTTAGTAGTCAACTTATATTTTGTAATTAGTGGATGAGCTTGATGCCCTCGTTTCTCCTTCGAAATGCGCGGATAGACGCTTCTGATTGCTTGTAGATCGGTTTTGGGCATGCCCCTTTAAATTAACGTTCATTGCTAGTGTTAACTTTTTGTGGTCTCATTGTCATCCTTGTGAGGATTCCAAAAAAGGCGTGGCGTGTTCTGTCTCATCACGAAATACCTTTTGACCTTTTTATCTCAATTTACATTTGTCGATGCTACCCACCCTTGTGCACTCAGGATTGGTTTTAAAGGTTTTGTTTTAAAAAAAATAACTGATTCAATGTAAGGCCCCGAGTTTAATACCTTCCAAATGCAAATCACATCACGTCGTGTACACGTACCAACCGGCCTGCAGTGTGCCATGCTTTTGCCAGATTTGAACTGGTTTTGATGATGTTGGTTATGCTGACAGGTCTGAAGGATAAGATTACTCTTCCATCTGATGGTGAAACGTTGCTGTTTTAGCTTTTGTCAACCTATTAGACGGTAGGAATAAACGCTCTGCTACGTTTTGCTTTTGAGAGACGTATTTGTCACGTTACATTCAACTTCTGAAAAGGCTGTAGATTAAGCACGAGTGGGTTTGACCTTGTTCTTTTTTCGAGTGGAGCGTGTTTGAAACGGTGTTGCTAGACGAATGTTGGGGTTGAATTTTTACAATTCTAATGATCCTTTGTTGTAAGTGTTTCGACGGGTTCCATTCAGGTATTGCGACCTTACATACACAAGTCGTACCCCAGTGGCTAAAGGCTTAGTACCGCTCCTTCATGCACTTTTTTGTCAAATTTATCTTTACTTTTCATTCACTGTCGTATCGCTTTTTCAACAACTTGTACATGCTGAACTTTAGACCTGATTCACGAACAAGGCCTACATTTATTGCTTGACTGTATTCGACGCCAATCATTTCTAGGCATCCCTCGCATCACGATGAGAATTAATGTTTGTTTTTAAGGCTTTATCATTAGCATTGCTGTGTCTTGTCATTTTTGATGAATGCTTCATGATTTCCTGGCGTTTATTATTGCCACTGAATGTTCTTTATTTTCTCTATCTATCGCGCAAATGCGATTGTCTTGGATACCAATTTACCCATTGGGAGTCCATCTGCGACACCCAAAAACTTGTGAATGATCAATTGACATTCTTCTGATCTTCACAGACGTACCTTACACTTGTAGTGACAAAGCGTAGCCGAATACTGTGGAAAGAATTTGTAGAATTAAGGAGCAAAACATCCTTTGAATACCGTCTTTTATTTGCCATACATTTTGTTCATGTGTGTATATTTAAGGGCAGCACCGAACAAAATGTCAAATGAAATAAATATAGTGATCTATTTTTTTGTCCATGTAGGCGGATCAAATCAAATAAGTAAGCCCAGCCTACATCCTTCAGTGTCTACTTCATCCGGTCCTCCAGGCGATTGTCTCTCCGACGCTCTCGTTTTCTCAAATCCCATTCCATCAACAGCTCTGCACGACCTTCCGGGCTCCACCGCCTGTAGTGGTGGAATCCTGCGATGCGTTTCATCCCTTTCTGCTTCAATATCATCGTCAACCACGTCCAGACTGCGTTCACATCGAGGTCCGCCCTCTAGTAGACACGACTTAAGCAAAAGAAGTATCCCTGGCCCGAGTGGTTGCAGATCGGCTGGCCGTGCCTCCCAGACCTCAAGCGGAAGTACTGTTTGCATCCAACATCATCATCACCATCATACGCAGACGTCGACACAACAGCAACAACCGCAGCATCAGCAGCAACAAGGCTCGGGTATCAACTATCGCATTTTGCAACTCAAGATGGCTTTCGGGGATGTAGCCTCACAGTTAGTTCTGCTTCAAGAAATTAATCAGGTTAGAACTTGCTTCCTCTTCTGTGGTACTGAATGACATCAAGCCTTTGCCACGTTTCTTCAATCTTGCGTGTTCAGCTGCTTCAAGTAAAAATAATCCTTTTCACTCAGCGTATGAATGTGGACAGCACTTTGATTAACACTTTCAGGCCCTTCTAATGGGTTCAGACGAATCACTTGCGGGTCTCGCTGTACATGATCTTGTATCGGCCATTGTGGATCTACTGGACTCTGAAAAGTCACTGGCTTCTCTACCAGACGAGGAGGTGGTTGAACTGAAGAACCTAAGTTGTAATATCCTTGCGCACCTCATGGACGTGATGCCCAAGGCTGCGGATGCAGTAGTGATGGCCGTGCCTCTTCTTCTCAACACGATGTCCTGCAGCTTTGTCGGTGACATTTTGGAGAGAATTATTAACGTTCTCGAACAGGTTTCTCGACGGAATGGGCGACAGGTTTTGCTCTACGGTGGTGTCACTGTTAGTTCCTGCTTGCATGAAAATCGTTTCCGATTTTATAGATTTATTTGCATGGCTCTATTGTCTTAGTTTCATGCGCTCTTGAATCATCAGATCACACGTCGAACCTCGTGTTTGTTATCTATGCTCATTATTCCGATCACTTCATAGCCCCTTTTTTATTTAAAAAGACAACGCAATATAATTTCAAATGGTTTTATGAATTTCTGTGCCATCAGCATTCTGTCTTATTTCTCTTTCTTAGACGGTAATGAGCTACTACGATTTCGTGACGGTGGCGCAACATCGGACGATCCTCTCCATGGTAGCTAATTGTTTCGCCGATGTGCGTTGTGACGACTTTTTCACTCACATTGCCGGCTGTCTGCCGAGTCTGTGCGAGCGTCTGGCTTGTGAAGGTCCTGGCTCCTCCACTGAACCGCGTTGTGTTGAGCGTGTCTGTCTCTGCTTTGCTCGCCTCATCGAGGCTTTCAAGGGCGAGCCAGCGAAACTGAGGGAGATCGCCTCATTTGGACTGTGCCGACATCTTAAATGCCTGGTTAGTTCGCAAGTTGAGCTGATATTGGTAGATGGGTAAACCACTCTTAAAAATCGCGGCCAGAGGGCTGGACAGATGTTGAGAATTTTCATCGCCTTCTGATGGCACTTTAGTAGCAGTCAAAGTCTACACAGCTGCGACGCCTTGCAATGGGTAAGAGTGCATGGACCTAAAGTACACCGAAGGAAACCCTTTTTGCAGCATTTTTTGTTTTCGTTCACTAGTGAATCTCAAATGCGCAAAAAATAAAATCGGTCCAACTACTTTAGCAACAGTCCGGGAGGGGGACAAGAAGGACATAGTAAAGCACTACTTTTTATGTCGGACCTGAATGACCAATTCGGGTCTGCTCACTTCATATTTTGGAAAAACGGAACCATTTGTGGCTTCCAGCTTTACATGAGCGGTTTTCATTTTAATTGGCTATTTGAAAGCCTTGAGGAGACATGTGCGACTCTAGTGACATAACGACAAATTCAACCCCATGCCATTATCCTCGTCTTTCGCTTCTGCATCCTTAAGTGTATTTTAGTCATTATTTTCCTCTCAGATGGCCGCCTCACCTCCAATCGTTTCCAACATGAAAGACATTGCGTACATGCTGGCAACGCTGTGCACTAACTGTCCCGATCTCGCTGTTGATATTCTAACAATGGGTAAGTGTCTACCATTTGTGAATTGGCAACTTTCTTGGTTTCTAGGTGCTTCTCTTTGGGGCATGGAATTTTAATTCATTGTTCACTTCACACCCACCGGTGTCTACAGCAATTAGCGTCGTACTGTGTACACACACACTCAGTCATGGCAACCGTCGTTAGGGTCCATAACAGACCAAAATGGTCGCTGCGTGCAAACTTTTGACTTACCATTTTGGTTGACAAACTAAATGACCTGCATTGATTGGTCCTTCGTGAAATGGAGACATCTTTAAATTCGATTGTTTATGTGTTTAGTTTCTTGGTAGGAATGGGAGTAAATTGAATGTGCACAACCTGATTTTTGCCACGCTCGATCTTGACACAATCGAATGGTTTACGGTAAAGGTCAGCACGACCATTTACATGGTCTTTGGGGGGAGTCTGTCGCTACGGTCTCTAATGTGGTAGTAATTGCTAGAATTTGAGACTCAGGTACAAAAATTGGCCACCATTAGGGGGGTGAAGTTGGCGAGCACCTACTTCATTGACTTCGTTGTTGCTGAATTATGTGAGAGGAGGGCGTCACCAAAACTATCATATCCATACGACAACGACGCCTTGCAACATTAAAACTTGCTGGTAATGACGTCGTGGCGTTGCGTCATGATACACGGTACCTTGATAACCTAAACTTTAGCTCGTTGTTAATGCTATTGTGGTTCGATTACCTCTCCTTTGCAGGCTATGCGGAGACTATCTACACTCTACTGACAGATCAAAAGCCTCATGTTATGGCTCTTCACTTACCGGGTCAAAAAACTCACGTTGTTGGACCAAGATGTACCTCAAGTCGAACAAACATTGCTCGATGTTTGGAGAATCGCGGAGTGGAGAATGTCTATGCCATAATTCACCTCATAAGGTGCGACTTAGCATTCGTCCTATTCCTCTTCATTTTTCTCATGTCGAGAATAGTCGGTATTTGCTTTATCGTTTTGAACCGATTCTTTGTCCGTGATCAAGGCTTTGATGCAATTATTCACATCGTAGGTTGGTAGGCATTAAATGTGATGCTGAACTCTTTACTGCATAACCACCTGCATCCTGGCTATTTACCCACTTCTCTCCCATCGAATACGTGTTTTATTCTCAAGTCGGCGCGAATTATTAACGCCTCGGACAGTCTGCCTTTGTGTGTGTGTGTGTGTGTGTGAGAGAGAGAGTAGGAGAACCAATCTACATTGAGGCATGCGTGTGTGCGCGCTCTCGCATGTGGACATACGCATACTGGATGGTATGTTGTATTGGGTTGCTTCAACGTTGTTTATTTATGGATTGATAAATAGTTGAAATAGACATGTTCTGACTCTCAGTTCAGCAAGTACTTTGAATAGGGGCTGTGCAAGTTCTCTATCTCAGACACACACACAGACCACCATTGGGTCCCATTGGCTCGCGCCGGATGTAGTGTTTTTGCACAATACGAGGGTTTTTTTCCTTCTGTGGAAAGTCGTGGCAATATCACACAGAACTTACACCCACTTAAATGATCCTCCTCTCAGAGCAGGAAAGTGCTGCGATTGCTTTGTTATCTTAATCTCTACGGTTCAGGTATTGGCGGTTGCTGTAAACGGAAGTGGAACACAGTTAAGTGTCATGTTGTACAAATTTCGTGTAAGGCGATTTTAACTGCCTCCTTTCTTTATTCCCTCTAAAGCGCAATGCTTCCTCCTGTTAAAGACAATGCCACCATTCTCTGCCCTCCAACTGCTCCCTCACGTGTAAGTGGTATTGTATATTTCTCTATTGTTTTATTGGTACCTTTGAAATAGGTCTTTGTGTACATAACAATAATGTTTGGGTTTTTTTTCAAAACTGGAGTCCGTTTAAGTGGACTTCGCTCTTACCACACACCTGCTGCCTTTCCCTTCAGTGCATCTGAGTCATTAGCAGCCACCACTCACCACACTTTCCCTTATGACGCGTCTATTCTAAATTGGCTGCCTAGATAAAGCGTATCCCCTCCAAAGTGCCTGCCTTTTAGTGTTGTCTTATACTTTATCGAAGTAATAGCGTCTTCCCTTGCCGTCAAGTGTTGACTGATTAATGCCATATGTTTTTTGCATTGTCATAATCAGGAAGCCGTAGGTCGTGCTTAACGTACTCCATTTACATATTGTTTTCTTACAGCAAGCTTGAATGTGCAATTTGAATGGCCTCCCGATGATGCTCATTTTTAGAACCCATCCAGTACAGACTACATCCGAACTAACTTTCTTTCCCTCGTGTCACATAGTTGCCTTAGGCAGGATAAAATTAGTAGTCTTGTTTGTTGTTTTTTTTTTTCATTTAGACGTCAACAAGTGCTAGCAAGACACCCGATGTGCGAACAGTGCTGTTTCAACAGCAATGCAAAACCTTTGAGGATGTTATGAGTCGTGGCAAGAAGAAGAGCATTGTAGACGATGGTGAAAAGTCTCGAGGAGATGCTGAGGCTAATGGCAGTTCTGGTAAATCGAATAACCTGGTGTTGGTAAGAACAGTGCAATTGCTACTTCCCATGCTTCTTGACCTCTACACCGAGCTGAATAGCACTGCCCCAAGACTAAAATGTGTTGAAGCCGTTCAGAGGTAGGCAAGGCTCTTGGTCTTTAACACTTCATAAGCGTTATTAATAACACATTTTATCTCCTTCATTAGGATCGTTTGCAACACTAGTCCTTTCGTGCTCTCCTTGATGGTATCGCCTCGTTCGGTGTCTGCTATGGTCGCCGATATGCTTGGCAGCCCCGAATTTGCTCTAATCGCTGCTGGCTTGCAACTCGCCAACCTCTTTATTACCCGCATACCCCAAGTCTTTGGTGTTTACTTCCGCAAGGAGGGGGTTCTTTTTCACCTCCATCGACTATCCTCCCTAGCTTCTGAGAGTAATAAAAAAGAGGCTGCTTCCGGCGTCGAAGAATTCGAGGTAGGTTTCTTGCCATCAGATTAGTTTTAAATTGCTTAAACCTTGCTAGACCTTACTTCTAAGTTCCCATTATTTTAGTCGCCGTCATCTTCAGATGCAACTAAACCAGTACCCTTTATGCCTTTGACAAACGCACCTCAAACCACTCCCACCGTTCCATCGTCTCAGTGGATATCAGGAATTTCATCAGCCCTCTCCTCTGTCGCAACTGATCAAATAGGATCTTCACGCATTCGACTGCGATCTCAAAGTATGTATCCCTGATTTTGTCTTTTATGACTGAAACTGTTGCGAGAGAGGCGTGTCGATGCAACCAAAAGGCACTGGAAATGCATGAAATGGGTTTTGAACGATGAATTTTCAAATACTTGATTTGGTTGCTCACCAACCTTAAAAGAGCTATTACTAAAGTTGCCATTATTATATTGACAAGCATTTTGCATGATTTCGTTCGACCTAAAGGTGAAAGTTTGTAGTTTCTCTTTTCCACAACTCTTGACAGTTAGAACTAGGTTTTGTAGTGCCAAGTTTTTATGGGTGTCGTAGAAATTGGACAAAACGGCCACTGCGAGTTCTTGACATGCAAAATGCTTGTTTACATCACAGGTGAAGGATTGTGCGGTTGTCGAAATATTCCAAGGGAAGGGGAAGTGTAGACTTGAAGTATGTTTTCACAACTAAGCAGAAAATGCGACCTAGAACATGAACATCAATGCTTGCTTTTACTACCCACTTTGTTTCAGTGCGAAGTCCCGGCCATATTTTAATTTCAACTTCCCCAGGTCATGTCGCCCGGTTAGTCACCCCTCTGTTGCATTGGCCTTGTAAACAAACCAATATGGACCAAAAGCCCTGCCTTCATTAATGGCTTTGTGTTGCAGGAGCGACCACCCGGTTTACATAGATTAGATGAAATGGTGGTTATTGCTCTGCTCGGATTAATGTTCGCCTTCATTAGCTTACTACGTCTTGTCCATTCGTCTGACACTTTAGGAAACAGTCACCGATCAACGATGGAAGACTCATCAGGTCCTAAGTCGCCACATTTTATTTTCAATCCTCGCTTCCCAGATCCCAATATTTGTGATATGAATGTGTTAGAGCCCTTGGCACAGGCAGCTCTAGAATCCTCAATTTCGTCGTCATCTTCCTCCTCATCCACACTCGATGTAGATCTGAATGCAGACGCCAATCAATCTTCCCCCAGGTTTGTTTTGGTTTCCGCACTAGTTTGTCTCCATCCTAATCAACGTCATGGATTTTTGCTGATTTCATATTTCCTGTTTAGCGCAAATGCTACCTCCAATGCAGCTAATAGCTGCCATGACAGTAACCTCCGCGCCTGGATTACAAATCAGTGTCAAGATCTTTACGATCGCATCCAAGCGCTCGTTGCAAATCCGCCGAAGCTCGAAACTTTGGCGTCGAAGGCGTTGGCTGCGTCAGGGTCCGGATCGGTGGGGAATCGAAAGGCAACGCGTCGACACTCCTCGTCCCCTACCCTCCACATCCCACAGGGAGTAATGCCGCGTGATCTCGTGCCCGAATTGGAGGCCCTGAGTCATCAACTCATGGCTGCCGATGATCCGACTGCATGGGTTACCGGTTTGACACGTCTTGCCAGTCTGCTGACTCAAACCATCCTCTCGGAGGATGAGGCACCTTCCCCCTTCGAGATTCAACGAAGCGGTTTGCTGAACTCCCTCTATCTCTTCCTAACTCAGTCCACTGAGAGGAGGCTGAGACTCTTCTTACTGTTGAGGGTGAGTCTTTAAAATATTTTAAGCTGTGGCAGAGGTTGGCAAGAGTGTTACAGGGCTTAACGTGTTTTCCCTTCAATAATATATAGTTTTCTTTCATCCTCCTCGTTGGTGAACACAATGTCATACCTTGTTTCGTTCACTAATTGATACACGTGAGGGATGTCGTGGGTTTGATGTTTATGTCTTGATTTTAGGTTTTCGTGGGACCCCGATACACAGAAAACATAAATTTAAAGAAAATCGTTGAAAAATCAAAGATTTTGGCTCAGACTAAAGGCGCACTGCAATCTCTGAAGCACCACAACAATGATCAGTCGGTACATGATCTGGCCTTCCCTATGCTAATCAACTGCCTTCTTGACTGCCTTCACCAGCAGGTACTAGTAAAAATATGAGCTCCTTTCAGCTATTTTTTTTATTGCTTATGTTACAGAAGCATAGACCTAATTCGTGAGGAGGCAATTTTGTGCGAAAATCACATAGCTCCTGAGTTCTTCACTGCATACTGTTTGGATTGATTCGTAAAAAAACAACTCCATTACCAAGCGTTTACTTGTATTGCTTCACTCTCCTCTGATATTTCAGGAGCATTTTCAAGTTCTGACTGGCCCCACCTCTCTGGCCAGTGCAGAAGCTTGCGCAGAGGAGGCTCTGATGTCGGTGGATCAAGGTGGTGGCGCAGGAAACGAGCCCCATATGGGAGCGCGACATAGACGCAGTGGCATGGCATCGAATCGAAGGGGAGGTGTTGGAGGAGATGGAGGCGGTCCTTCTCACTCTCCCTGTGACCAACCGCCCCTACGTCCATTGCCTCGTCGTTGGCCCACCTTGGTGCCGGGTTTCCTCAAACTGGAGATGATCCGACAGCAAGATGAGCCTCCTACCAGTACCGCTGTCGGTCCCTCCTCTTCGTCGTCATCGTCGAGGAAAACGATGGGAGAGAGTGATTGTCCTGCAAAAGGCAGCTTCTGGGAGAACGCTCCTATCTCTTTGCCCATTCATGCCAATGCTCTCATTACAATTTCGGTATGGCTATGCATCGTTTTTGTGCATGGTTTGCGATCGTTGTGTTTCTATTGTTGAAATACTCAAGGTTGCTTGCAATGTTGTCTCTACCAAGCGACCGTCAGGCCTCTGGTGTACAAAATCCATACCATCGAACACTCAGTTTGTCTTTAGCAAGCAACGAGGTCCTCTAGGCGTGTGCAACCGACCTTTATTCAATTATATTCAAATGTATTTTTAGAAAAACTACTTTTCAACACTGAGGCGTTAAATTAGTGTTCATGATTAGCCATGAAATGTCTCACTTGTGGTAATAGTTATCATCAAATATGTTATTGTATCAAAAGTAAGTTTCTCTGTTTGATACCTTCGTAGAATCTTCAACGTCTGTTGATACAGCGAAGTTTCATCGCTTCAATAATGTGTGGTCCCGAAGATCATCGTGATTCTCAACCCATGGGCGAAGAGAACGCTGTCTCACCTTTCACTCATCCCACCTCTCAACAAACCGCTCATCGACGTCGATTCTACCGTCGCCACGAGCTGCCTGCATCACCCAGTGAGGAATTGACCTTATTGAAGACTCGTTCTACTCACTACTCATCCGCATTTGATGGCGCACGCCATGCAAAGCCTCCCACGTCCTCGACTTCTGGCTCTCAACACTACGAGGCACTCAATTTATCTCTCGAACATGATGCTGTCACTGACAAGTCGTCAACTTCAAAGGCTAAAGAAGTGTGTTTTAGTTCTATGTGGCATCATCACTGGTCTCGCATTAATAGCCCTTCTATTCTCTCACCTCTGTAGGCATCGCGTCCCAAGAGCATGTCTCTTCTGGCGGCTTTTGGAATGCTCCAATTCGCTGGTTCCTCCACATCACCTCCTTCAATGGCAGCAATAGCGGCAGGAACTCCTTCATTTTCCTCTCTACCCCCTGTCCCTCCAGATACTGTCTCCAACATGCTGCATTCCCAAGGCCGTCCCGGTGTGAGGAAAGAATACTCCCACTCTCAACATACGCATCCACATCAGCATCATCCCGCACCAACTCGTCATCAACGTCAACACCAACATCAGCACCATCCACCAGCTCATTCGGCTGTAGCTGCCTCCTGTGTGGTGGGTGACCTCATTGAGAACGCTACGCTTGGTGGTGGAGCCACGCACGCTCTAGTGCCCGTAATTTATGTTGGTGGTACGCGTGTTCCGGAGCGAATGCCTCTTTACCAAGCAATTCGTGCGTTCTCTACGGATGTAAATGAACACAGTCGCCAACTCTTGGCTGACCATCGCTTCTCCATGACTGAACAAAACCGGGAAGACAGAGTATGGTATTCTTGATATTACTGATCAATGATTAAACCTTAATTCTTTTGCAAGGTGGAACTTTTTCGTCATGTAATTGTGTGCCTCGGACTCGTAAAATATTTAATGGTGGTTAACTGGTGGTTATTTGAAGTTGCTATTTTTGAATGATTGATGCGAACTTTTCGACCATCAATTCGACTCTATACCCTTAATTCGGTCTACTTCTATCCCGCTCCTCGCCTTCATCCAGATAAACGCCTTTATGTGGCGCCACATTCACACGGTTCATTATCGTCTGGAGAAGGCTACTGTTCCTGGTCCATCTTCATTACCATCCACCGCCTTTATCGACTGTTCGACGGGTCTTTTATCTCCTACCTCCCTCTTCTTAAGAGGTGTGACGTCAGGCATTGCAGGAGGCGTTTTGGCTCCTTCTTCGGTATCAACAGCCAGCACACCCTCACTCAATGTCAATTTGAGTACCACCGCCACCACTAGCAGTGTGAACCCCAAACACTCACCCACCTCATCTCTCTCCGCAGCAATCAGCTGTTTAAAACGACCACGGCGTCTCGACGAGTTGCCTAATCCATCCACCCAATCAACAAGCAAGTCACCATCCTCAAGACTTCTAACTTTTCTGGAGCCGCTTACGGACGCTCATATCTTTTCTAATGGTTTCATGGCTCCAACTCTGTTTCTTCTTCGAGCTCTCTATGGGCTGAGCGAGGCTGGAAACACCCTGGATGACTTAGTCGAGCCGTTCCCTATCATTCCTGCGGTATGTCCTTCACCACACACTCGCTCTTAGTTCGTTTCCTTTTCATCCCTATGTATGTACGTCTTCCTTGGTAGGATCACTTTCAAAGTCAAAAACTCTCCGCAAAGGCGTCTCGTCAGCTTCAGGACGTATTCTCTGTGCTGGCAGGCAATTTGCCCAGTTGGTTGGTGCAAACAATTTCAACGTGTCCCTTCCTCTTTCCTTTCTCTGTTCGGCAGAATTTCTTCTATGTTCACAATTTTGATCGCGATCGAACTATTCTTCATCTGCAAGTGAGTCATTTTTGTTTGATCGATGTATTGAGTGTGTTGAGTGTTTCTATGGTTATATTGTTCCTTCTTGCTTACTAGGATTCCATCTTGAATGGATCCACCGATAATGAAACGCCAGGTGGTGGAAGCGCTAACGGTGGTGGTGGTGGTGGTGGCGGCAGCGGTAGTGTGAGTGCAGGAATAGGCGGCATCGGTCATTCCTCGTCACCTCTGCCACGTCTCCCCCATTATTACCATTCCTTTGGCGCTCTTCGTCTTGGTGGCTTTGATGGTAGTGGTAATTCTACTACTGCCATCCTTGAAGGTCTTCTTATGGACTCAGCTTCTCAAGTTCAACGACATAAGGTAAAAGTTAGTGTGAGAATGGACTTTGTCTGCATTTTCACTTTCGACTTTGGTGATAATCCATCACTCTTTATTGACAGATAACAGTTCATCGTGATCCCAAACGTCTGCTCCGTGCTGCGGAGTCGGCGTTGAATGAGCTTCGCGATTCGCGTTCCATTCTTGAGATTGCCTTTGAAGGGGAAGTAGGCTTTGGTCTCGGACCGACTCTGGAGTTCTACACCTTGGTTAGCCACCAGTTAATGACCGCAGGCCTTAGTCTTTGGCATGGGCACAACTACACCGATGAGGGTTACATCATTGCACCCGCTCCTGGGCTCTATCCTAGACCCTTGGCCAAAAATTTGCGCTCATCACAGTCGAGAGAAGTGAGTCCGTCTGGACATTTTATCCTGTACCATTTGTATCCATGGCTAAAGTTTTGTGTTCTGATTTCATAGGTGCGTGCGAAATTTTTCTTCCTGGGCCAATTGATGGCACGATCGTTGTTAGACTGGCGCCAGTTGGATCTCTCGTTGTCACCGACTCTCTTCAAGTGGTTCCTCTACACTCAATCACCGGAAGAAGACTTGGTTCTCTGCAGTCCTCGTGTAGGTGTTACTGCAGCCGATCTTGCGTTGGTAGACCCTCCTTTTGCCAAGCACTTCCACAGCCTCTTAAAAATGAGTCGACGAAGGCAGGAACTCCTGGAAGGCAGCAAAACAGCAGTGATAGCTGCCGAGGAGGAAGTTCGAGGTATAGACACGGAAATCGACGATCTCTATCTCTCATTTGTCCTTCCTGGTTATCAGGTTAGCACCTTCGCTCTCTTCTCACTCTATTTGTATTCTAAAGTTGGTCATGAATGTGTTCACTGGTCTTTGGTATAGATTGAGCTGTGTCGAGGTGGATCACAAATGGTGGTCACTGGGAGCAACTTGGCTGAGTATCTCCACCTTTGTGCAAACTGGTTCCTTGTGGAGGGAGTTCGACGCCAAATCATTGCACTTATTGAAGGTTTTGACTCCGTCCTACCGGGCATTCGAACTGGCAAATTGGCTGCCCTCTTCCGCCCAGACGAGTGTGAGGGTCTCTTCTGTGGCTCGGGCGGTTTTGGGGGTCTGTATCGCGATCAGTTGGCTTTATTGCGCACCTCCTTCCCTGTCTCTCCAATCCCGTCGTTTGTTACGGCCTCAAATTCTGCCTCTCCTTCCTCTTCAGCAGCTAGTGTGGGCTGGGATGTTGATACTCTCATGAAATCCTGTCTTTGTGATCACGGCTACACTCTACAGTCAAAGGCAATTCAATATCTCTTTGAGATTATGTCGGAATTTGATGAGCCGCGTCGACGTCTCTTCATTCAGTTCGCCACTGGTAGTCCACGTCTGCCCATTGGAGGTGAGGAAGGATAGTTCTAGATTCCTATTGTCAAGTATGGCTACAAGTTGCTAACCTCGTGTAATGGCTACCTTATTCCTCTGGTAGGATTTCGTGCATTGAAGCCACCGTTGAAGATCGTGATGAAACGGGAGGCTGAGGATTGCGCTGATCAGCATTTGCCCTCCGTGATGACTTGTCAAAATTACTTAAAGTTACCAAACTACTCAACGAAGGAGATTATGCGGGAGAAGTTGCTCTACGCTATCTACGAGGGCCAGCACGCTTTTCATCTCTCCTAATTCATTGTACTGTGCCTGCCGGCTTTTTTGGTGATTTTTGTGTGCTTGTTTTCAACCCTTCTCTGTTCCTTTGCCACTCCAACTCCTCATTTTCCTCTCCATTCCCTCCCACTCTGACCTTCACTCCCTCCTCTCCCACCCTACTCGTCAAATGATTTAATCCCACTTCTCACTCTCCTCCTCTCCTTCCCTCTCCCCTGTTCTGAAAGGGGTAATAGACAAATATACACGTAAAATTACTGTATATTTTATTGCTGTCGCTTTCCGTCGTTTGTTTTTTTCCCTTCCTTCGGAAAATAAACTTTTCAACACAATGGTAATTTATGTGGACTTTTAAAGAAGAATTTTGTCTTCTGCATTGAAGGGAGGTAAGACCTCGATGTATTAACCCATCCACATTCTTCCACCGAGGAGTTGTGTTGGTGGGTCAGAACTTGTGCCTGTCACATTGCTGATTCCCTCTGGGATGAAGGCTTTCATTCTGTTTGCATAATGTGCTGATTATTGCGTGTGTACTTGGTGGGAGTTGATCACGACTTTTTGTTACGCGGCTGTCATTTCTGGATGCCTAGAATTGGAAAGTGGAATGAAACATCGAGTGTTCACATAGTTAACATCTCATACACCGGTCTTGGAGCCAAGGTTTGGTGATAACAATTAGGATAGTTTTTGAAAGCTGACATAATTGGCAATTGTTTGTACTTCATTCATCCTTTAGTGTTTCTTGAGATCATTCCTGCTGTCCGTTGGCATCACTGTGACATCTTGAGGCTAATTCAGAGGTGTGGAAGGGTGACAATACAGTGTCGTGGAGATAATTAGCAGGACTTTGAGGTCAATCAACCCAGCAATGTGACCCCTTTATACAAAAATGTGAGTTAAAGTGGTGATCAATGCATAATTTCTTTTATTTGTAAACGCTTCTAAAGTTTGTCTTTTTTTCCATTCCGACGCGTTCAGTTGGTACTGTGGCTACGTGTCTACTTAAGCCATCCTTTTCTACTTCAAAAAAACAGGTTTACTTCCCCATCCCCCTTCCCTCTCCTTCCTTCAAACGAAAGATAGTCTGCAGGCAGGTGAATCGAAGCAAACTCGAGGGCGGCATGGACAATGCGACACTGTGAAGTGAAGCACAACAAAAAGGCAGCTTGTTGCTGTTGCAGGTGTCATCGACCTTTTTTTCCTCTCCTCTACTCATGGCGAAGTGTCGTGTGAAAGGAAGTGGATAGTTATGCACAACTTGCACTAGTAATTTGCAAAAATGCAGCATTGTAACAAAAAAGGAAACGCGGTACAGAAAAAATGCCCTCTCCTCTCCTGCCATTTGATTGGCTGGACAGGCGTCCGCATCTGATCACTTCGTGTCTCGTTTTGTGACTTTTTCAACACACTGGGAGTTGGCACTTGTTTTTTTAGTCAAGATGTTGTGATCACTGACTTTAGAGAAATCGGTTAGCGTGTTCAACATGAAAGTGAAGAAATTTTGGCTTTATTGCAAGTGGTAAATGACCTTTTAAGGTCGCATTCACCTATCCCTTGGATTAGGCTGTTCATTCCTAAAACAGGCTATCTTGATTACCTAGACCCCATAAAGGCACAAGTTGGATTCTTGACAAATCAGCAGTGGAACAACTTGTAAATGCTTTTGTCCCTCACATCGTTCAACTTTGGACCGCTGTCTGATCCGCAACTGAATTCCTTTTCACTAGTGGTAATATTTCTTTTACCACTTACACTTGATGCTCATTCTACGCTAATGCGTTTCTTGTGCATTTAGAAATACCTTCGGAGTAAGCATTTTTATTGGTTTCCTGCATTGTGCAAGTTTATTGTCTTCTTCTAGGCATGACATACCTTGTTACTTATTATATAATCAGTAGTGTGTATTTAAAACCTTTCCATTGGTCTTCATGGATCATGTTTATTTAGGTACGATAGCATGTCTTTTTTGAGATGGAAAATCTTTTCTTTAAGTCATAGATAAAGTTCCTTTCACGTCGTAGAGGACCATTCACATGACAAGACGCACCGACTACTTAGCTTGGAGTCCATTCGTTGCCAAATAAGGCTGCATGTAAAGAATAATGACTTGTTTTTATGGACTCATTGCATTATGTTGAATTTTTCCCAATGTAAATGTGTAACAATCTTCTAAAATTACAAGTCACCTACCTATGATAGCTCCCGAAATATTGTGGAAATTCTAATGACATTCTAATAATTACGTAATACTTTTTTGGATGGGCGCTCGGGTTATTGCATTGGCAACGGAAAACGCAATTCTCTGTTGCAAGTAGTAGATGAAATGGTCTTGATTATGACAGAATAAAGGGTCTTATGTACAGGTTTTCCCATTTGAGTAATTGAAAATTTAACTACTCATTCTGTCCAGTGGTCGTGAAAGCCGCAGTCATGGGAGTGGGTGTAAGAAGGGAGTAGCAAAAGAGAAAGGGCGTTCGGAAGCATGAGAAACGGAAAGGCGTGGCTTTGGCAATTTTTTCCCAGTATCTTCCCAATCCCGTAGGCGGGGCTTTAGGTGGATTCCATAAAGTTGTGACTTTTTTACCACTTCAAGGGCGTGGGGTTGAGGCGGTCGACCGGTTTCTTTCGGTAATAACAGGGGGTAAGAGTTGCCAGTTCTTATCCGTTTCCTCAAAGTTGTGTAAGTGTAAATGGGTTTCTCGGAAAATGTATCACTTTCAAGGGCGGTAGTTTGCATCGGCTGCCAACACTAATCAATTATGCTAAATGATGGACGTGGTGGTGGCCACACACCATTACTTGTTACTTACAGAGTCTTTTATTACCGATTTGAGTCACTTGGGGTGCATTTGACTCACAACTGAAGTCCCTGTGGTCATATATGATGTGCATCGATGTGGAGCGGAGGACATAGTCGCAGTGCTTATTGCTGTGTCCTTCTCTTCTTCCTAATTATTCTGGTATTGACTAGACTTGATCGATGGAATTTGTGCTTCTGTTCTGTGTGTTGTCCCGACGTTGCTTAAACACGTGGAGTTTTGGTTAGGTGTGGCAGTCTACTACAACAAGTTCAGGCTAGAACGCGGCGAGGCTGCTGTCTGTAAATGTCTTATTGGACACATTGCTCAGCTGAAAGAGATTATTTGGTTGTTTGATTGACCGAGCAGAACGATATTTGTGTGGTTGCCCATGCTTATTGGTTGCACTCAGGTAGTCGTTCATCCACTGCCTATCCTGCTTATTTTCTCTCTAAGCCAGACACCAATTTGCTTTCACAAAACAACGTCTACACTCTTCGCGTGTGATGTGCCGCAGACACCAGCATGTTGTTGGAGCAAGTGCAGACGAAGAGATGTTTCGCAAGGCGCCGCAGATGCTATTTTTCCTAACTTCAAATCATGATTGACGTCTTTCATCAACGTTGACTTCTAAAACCTGACTGCTATTCTCATGGATTAGTCCCCACAATCACGAAATATTACCATATATTGTATGTGCCCTGATTCGACGCTTAAAATAACTTAAGTAGTATCTGTGCATATGCTTCTAATAGACTGGTTTACCGAAGCTGGAGCTTTGTCTTATGCAATCGCTATAAAAGAACATAATCCATGTGCACAATGCTGATTCTAGGCACAAACAAATTGTAAAAAAAGCGAGATTGTCAGGGCCTCTCAGTCTCGACATGAGCATAATCCTTATGTCGATGAGAGATGTTTGACGCGCTGGCTTAATCTGTCACCACCTTGACACCCAATCTTTCTCCTTAAAAATACTGAGTTCTAGGTCGCATATGGGAGCCTGTACCTACGCAGAAGTGATTCATTCAAACAAATCAAGCTTTGAGTTCCAGGTGTGGTTGAGATTTAGTGAACAAAAGAATATTCACAACTTTTATCCTCACGCAAACTATGCTCGAGGGTTGTTTTGTACATTTTTTTTGCATGGTAGGATTAAGTTTTGCTGTAGTGGTAAGACTTTTCACAACAGCTATCAAGACATGTACTGGGCGTCAACAGGGGTAACAGGTGAAAAGGATATCCTTTTCAGGCAAACGACAAACAGAGGTGTTTAAAGTTAAACGGAAGTTGTTTGTTTGTAGGCATATTTTAAAAGGGAGAGAGGGAAGAGTGAGAACCCTGACACAATAAACTGCTCCCATTCTTGACGAAATTGTGGTGGCTGAATAATTGGGCCTTTTATCGGTCACTTATATATGATAGGTGGTAATTTCCCAGGCAGTGGATCGGTGTAGTAGGCGTGTGTGAGAGACTTGCTGTAGATTTCAGTCGGAGCACTTGGAAATGAATAGTTACCCCATTGTATACGAGCCCATGTGTCGTGTGGATAGAGAGGAGGAAAGTTGCGCTCCAGTTCGAACCGTTCCGACTTTGATAGAGTAATGAGATGTGGAGCTGTCTTGTACTTACATGGAAGCACTAATTTGGACTCAGGTTGGGAATTCAAAGGCACAATGTAGTCTCTGCTGTTCTTTTCCGCCTTGGCGGATGGTAAAATCTCCAAATTTGTGAACATTAAGGAGGGTAGACGGGTTCGACTGCTTATAGACATCAGTGAAACGTAGGCCTTTAGTTCGTTAGCCCTTCTCGATGGCAAAATGTTTGAATGCTCACAGGTCACTGGTGTAATCGATTTCAAAAATAATGTGCATGAGTCAAAGTCCTATGCTGTGGCCTCCCGCGACTTCCTTTAGGGTAAAAGGAAGGGGAAGGGGAAGTATTTGAATTCTGGCTAACTAACACATATGCGTGATAGGGTGGGATTCTTTTGTTTATGTGGTCACCTGTATATGATGCTTACTTTGGTATTAGTCGTGCTCTTCTACACGCCGAGTGGTCTTCAAGCCCAGCCAAAAGCGATATGTATTCCGGCCTTTTTTTACAATTTCTATCCTAGTATCCACCATTTGTAACATACCTACGAAGTAGGGAAGAGTAAATGATTGGAGAGAAAGATTTTCTAAATTATTCATAACAAAAGTGTTTGGAGTGATGTCTGCGTTAGAATCGCCATCGTCTCCGTGTTCCACAGAAAAGCTATAAACAAGTGAAGTATGCTACACACCGAAAATCTTGGCATATGTGGCATCTATTTTAGACCAATGTAAAAATGTCTAGTTCTAAGCACAATTGATGGTCAACATAAAACAGTTTTACGATATTTGCTCTTAGGTGAAAGGCAATGCCAGATTCAGTTGAAGCTGAATCACTACGTCTTATGGTAGCTGATGACGGGCGAGAAGGGTGTACCGAGGGAAGCACTGAGAACGTTGCGCTAAAGGTGAGACGGGCAGTGTCGTTGATATGAGCACCTATAGTCTCACGCTTACTTTGGGATTTGTCTTTGTAATACTTTTCGATGTGACTACTTAATGTTTGGCTGTGACGTTGGATTTTTTGTCTTGTCGTTTTACTCGTGGGCCTATCTTTGGGCTAAGCTATGGTTCAATCCCTTCTCCTCTAAAATGCATTAATTTAGCCTAGCATAATCCGAGTTTCCAGAATCTATAGGATTGCATCTCTCTTCTCCTTGAAGGTATGAAATCGTCGTCATCTTGTTTGCCTTTATCCAGCTAGAAATTTAGGACGCTATAAGGATAAGTTGGGTTTTAATTCATCACATGAGCTGCCCTCGACTCTTTTACAACCTTATTCTGATCGCTGGTAATTAACACGACCCTCTATTTAATTAACATCAAAGATAACACCATTTGCATTGCATAAATACCTACAAAACTAATTAATGACCCCCAATAATTAGTATGTAGGGAGGCTGGGCCTGTACAAACTGCGCACCTACCCTCAAGCTCTTCAGCCACGGACTTTAGGAGAAAGTTAGTTGTAGCAGATTTATTAGGCACTGATTACAGGAAGAACGAGGATAGGAGTACAGATGAACCGAATAGCCGATATCGCCGGTAGAGGGATTCCTTACGGTACTCACGCACGAAGTTCACCTTCCATTTCAGTTTCCGCCCCTATCCTATCAAGCTTAACTTAAATACTTTAGTATATATTACAGTGCTCTTCTTTTTAATGTCTTTAGCACTGCTATTGAAAGTACATAAAAGGAGTACTTAGATTGATTTAGTGAGGACTTGTATACAAAGGAAAACTAAGGTAACTGTTGCAATCAGGATTTCCATAACATGCACTACTAAGATTCATCATACTATATAGTAACTTAGGTAAGAAAATCTTTTCGTTTGCCTTTCATTTAGTTGAACTACATCAAACTTGAGTAAATCCTAATGACATTGGCATTAATTCAAAAACAGGCGATGGGTGCAAGGTGGGATAAAGGACATAGAGAGTACATTTAAAGCCAGCAGCGGTTTTGTTCCCTCTAAACGCCAGTCACGTAGACGGAAAATGGCATATTATGGACTCCTCAATGCATCATTTGATGAGTTCTCTTTTGTGATGTTCAAAAAAGTCTCAAGATACTGATAAATTTGCCGTGATCTTGATATGTCAGGACAGCAATAAGGTATTTGACGATTAACTGAGTTATATTGGCATCATTTATTTAGTTTTCACATCTAAACTGTCGGGAATTAATTAGCACCTTTAGTGGTTGGTTTTTGCTCCTTCCCTCAATCCGGCCTTGACAAATTTGGCTCGATTTTCACAAAACACTTCCCTGAACGATGTAGGGAACCCACAGCATAATAATGACTGAAATTATCCTCAATTTTATTGTCGTTAGTTTCAATATAAAATGTTGACAGAGTCAGCATTTTTAAGTAGCTATCTTTTTTGTTGACCTATTTGCCTTTTAAAATGGATGTGTTATATTAGAGAATAAAATTCCTTGCCGTCATTTTATTGCGTGTTAGTATTTATACTGATAGCTCCCAGTTACTAATCACTCCGCTAGTCCCCTAACCTGCGGTTGGTAAAAAGCTAACGCGATGATAGTACTTAGATATTTTGGGCGTTGTCTCCAAACCACTTAGGTAACGCCCAACTCTCTCCAAGATTTAACGAAAGTTTATCATTAAAAAACCCATTCGTCCAGGTTGACACAAATGGCGACTGCATTTACGAGAGCTTTGAGCGAACATGTTCCCTTCCATAGTCTATTGAATATTTTTTCCCGAAACCCATCGTGGTCAGTACAAACGCCCTAACTTAATTTCAGCAGGTAGATTGGTGAATTAAAAAAGACTGAAAATGAAGCGATGTGTATCATACTCTTCTGCTTAAAAAAAGGAATGACAGGAGCTAATGAGGATGAAAGAAGAGGTGAGTCAATGAGTTTAAAAGTCCGATTCACCTCTCGTTACCAAAAGAAAAAATATTGTTTTTGGGCTGTATAATAATAAACATAATAGTGGTCATCAAGAGCACCTATCTAAGAAATCGTACACAGAGGGTGGATGTCACGCTTTCCACGCATAAAGATAAGGGGAGTGGAAAAGTAGTTCATTCCACTTTCGACACATTGACACGTCATCAACTGAAGTAGAATAAACAATCTCATTTTCGAAAATCGTCAAAAGAGTATTCTTTTTCTCCGGAAACATTGTACCGCGCCAAATGAAATGCTTTAAGGAGGTGCAAAAATTGTCACTGAGCTTCTCAAGTGACTTATCGGAAAGAATGGATTTGTTTACAGCGTAGATATAGTCGGAGTGATAACGGTATATTTTGAAGAATAGAAATGCATCCCAACCATGAAATGCAAATGAAACGAAGGAGTCCAAACCATAGGGATTAAAATGAGCATGTTGACTGCGAATGTAGTACCTCAAAATGGGCTGCACACTCCGAAGGGATTGTGCATACGATTGCAAAGGACATGTGACTCGAATATCGGTAACAATCTGAGAATATGTGTCCACAACACTTGGTGCATTCAAGGAGTGATTTTGGAACTTGATTCCTGTATCTGTATTATTCAAAAGATAGTAGTCATGAATTAGTTTGAACTCCGTGCTGTTTTCTCCAAGAATGCTTTTGATGTAGTCTGACATAAGAGCAAAGTTCCAAAGATGCACGGTGTTGGGGAAGAGATATGCTTCAGCTTCGTGCGAATTTTGACCAACTACGATGGGAATTGGAGAAAGCGGAGAATCCCACGATTCATCAGTGATTACATCATCATCTATTACCAAAATCCCGCCATTACAGGGCAATCCGGGAAGACAATAAATATTTGATGTGGATGGGAGCGTAAATAATTGCTCTATCCAAGGTTCAACAATGGTCCAATTCCAAAGAAGCAGAATCTCTTCTCCTTTCTGATCGCATTCCGTGTGTTCGCATTTAAAGACATTTTTAGACGCACTGATAGCTGAATCGAGCGTTATTTCTGGCTTACTCAGAGCAGGTGCACTAATCCAAGCCTTTTCAAATAGATTTTGAGCTAAGGGTGACCCAAGTAGGGCTAGCGATACTGTCGCACCAGATCCATAAGAAAAAATGGTTATTTTGAGTGGATCTCCACCAAAGTAGCGAATGTTAGATCGCACCCATCGAAGAGCAGCCAGCTGATCTCGAACGCCAATGTTCGCCACCTTTGTAGATGGATGAGTTAAGAACCCAAAGGGTCCTAACCTGTAATTTGACGTGATTTGTATAGCATTCAAATCGACAACAGTTTTGGGGTCAGGATGATGTAGGAAGGTCGATCCATTGAATGATCCTCCGTAATTGAAAAAGAAACCACCAATTATAAAAATAACAGGGTGCAGTTCTTCTGGCTTATGAGTACGAGGAACAAAAATATTAAGATACAGACAGTCCTCGCTGCCAATTATTTCATTTGATATCGGTAGAAGCTGCATGCACACGTTGCGATATGTGAAGGCATCAAGAACAGGTGTGTGCTGATGCTGCGGTGCATTCCATGCCTCCATACACAAGGCCTTTGTAGTGAGTTCAACAGGCTTATGAAATCGACGCTCCCCAACAGGTGGAAGAGCATAAGGAACTCCTAGGTACTGCACGATATCATGACTAATAAAGCCTTTTATGATACCGCAGCTGATTTCCACATTTGATTCTTTGGATATACGTATGTAGCCATTAAGGAATAATGAAATATAAACTGCATAAATGCTTACAGCAATTAAAGCAATTAGTATTATCGCAGTTATTAATATGAGCAAAGGTACTTTTCGGTCCAAGAAGGATACTTTAAAGTTGGAAAGGGAAATGGTTTCTTCAGAAGAAAAACTATTTTGTTTCATTAAGGATTCCTTCGCGTCTTTCATGTATTCGATATGGGACGCAGCAGACATCACATCTTATATTCCAGCTTCACTAAGCGGCAAACCCACCAGTATCATTTACCGCAAGCTTATTCAAGGATAGATTTACAATAACCCATGTATTAAAACATTTAAGCAACAGAATCTACCGTTAGCTCTCTTTTACTATTAGAAAGTATGAAACTGTGAGGTGATGTTTGCTAATATTAGCTCAACATTTTCTGCAAAAACACATTGCAATGACTTCCCTTGAGAACATTTTACTTGTACCATTGTTTGCGAGATTACCTAAATGATTAGTGATAACTATAGTATAGTCAAACACCTGATGCTTAAATTGGCTATTTAGCTTAGTCATAGCCTGAGTTTAATCTTTTTTGCCTAAGAATACGTATTTAGTAATGTGCATTGCTTGCGACTAACAAACGATATTGCCAGGCCTTCACCCTCCTGTTGGTAACAAAAATCAAAGGACTTTCGTTAAGGATGGTGTAATACTTTGTTGATCTGACCACATGGCGTTTGGTGGTCATTTTAGGATTTGTCTGGTTCTTGTACTCTTGGGCTGGCATTCAGGCCATGCTCAAGCTCATTTGCTCTTTTTTTCTTCAGAACACACATCTAGCCACATTTACTGCTTTCTTCCTCCCTGCGGGAATTCTCGCGACGCTACAGATGGATGTAAATAACGTTTAGAATAAACGGTTTCGACTGCCAAATGCGGATGATTGGTTACAGCCATTAGTTCTTTGTTTATTAAAAAGTGTTTATAATTTCTGACTCATGTCAAACTGCGTGCACTCTGCTTTAGGATTAGATCTTTGTTTACCTTTTGAGACAATCTTTAAACAAGCAAACTTAAATTTACTGAATTGTTTTTAATGTCGCACGTCCTCACGCTTTGTTGTAGAATGCATTAGGCATGATCGAGTGCCTGTATTCTGGCCTAAGTCGACTGACAATTTTAATATTGCTCTCACTTTTGGAATTCATTGGCAAGTACTACAAGTGGTAGGATCTCGAACAGATCATAACGAGTAAAAGGATTGACGTCTACTATTAATAGTTATCGTAGATTTATGCCCTATACATAATCTTTTAAAATAGAAGCCAAATTGGCAGTTTACCATCATAAAAGCTTTTAAATTTCTCAAGTTGGTTATTATTATTGCAGAATCCTGAGACTTCTTACCGAGTAGCACTAAGTAGGGCTGAAAACGTGCATTCCGAAGAGAACAAGGTAATTAGGCCCTAACATGGTCCGAAGGCTAGGCTACTCATACACGATCCGAACAAAGAATTACAATTATAATTATCCACCCACACATATTTTCTCCACGGGTGTGGAGACAACTTTTAACCTCTAAATCCCATTGGGTAAATGCGATGGGTTAGTCTGCAAGTCAACAAGTGCAATTGTAATACTTTGCTTATGTTAACATTTGGTGTTCGGCGGTTACTTTAAGACTCTTCTGACCCTTGTATGCGTGCATTGGCCTTCGGACAAAACTCAGGCCTAGCTTTATTTTTCTACCTCGAATATATTTATTCAGCTCCACGTAATGTCTTCTTCCTTCCGGTGGGAAGTCTTGCGACGCTATAGATGCACCCGATACTCCCCATTTTCCCATAACGCCTTTTTACGAAAACACCATAGAGTTCATCGTCAATGGCGAAGTAATGAGCTGCATTGTATGTCCCCTTTATTGTTGCTGTTGTTATACACGAATCCACTGTCTGCTAGGCGGGCAGAGCCTTTTGTGACTACTGTGCCTCCACCAAATGACCTTACCTTAGGGCAGTACAAAATACCGAAACTGCTAACATTTTGCAGAAACCTAAAATGTTTTTAATAAAGAAGGCCCCTGTGCAAGTGGGTTGGCCTTCAAGCCATCTTAGGGTTAATTTGCCCTGTCGCCATCAGAATACATGTATCCATGTATCGGCTAGGAAGTCTCGGGGCTCTACAGTAGGACTTTTGCTTAATCTGAAGTCCACCCCTCGCAATCAAGAGCAATATAAATATAGATGCTAGTGACCTAGTACGCAGCGTACTTTAACTCGAAATGAATTAGCTGATAAGCATTTCATTCAGATTCTGGGTTTTCAAGATAACCATTTAAATGCAAAATCGCGTGCACAAATTTTCTTCATGAATACGGGTGCCTTGCGCAAAAGTTATGCCATACCTTTAAATTTGGCTGGATGATTTATTCTTAAAATTCATTGTCTAAAGTGACAGGACGATCTTTTCTCCTATTGCTAATATTTTTTTCTAAGCCCAAGCTTCAGCCTAGTAATTGGCAGTGAGCGCAAATTCAATTGTTCAATGTTCATTAGTAGCCTCCTTGGTTCATACTAATGCTGCGTGCTCAACTTTGACCTCATTGCGTGCGTGAAATTCACCTCTTTTTTACCGGACCATGTTCTGGGTGTCCAGTTATATAACCTACTTAAAAATTGAATTCTCTTTGGCTGGATCATAGAGCTATGACAGCACTCATGTTTGAGTTAATGTCCTCTCTAACTTCATGCTAATGTATAGCTCGCTATTGCATCTAGCTTGGTGGTGTAATTTACATATATTACAATTATTTTGTATTTCTAACGAAATAGTGTTTATTTGCTTGGCCTTCGCAGTCTTTAGCTCTCTTTACATGTGCAAGTTTGTTTATTGAGAACCATCATGATAGATGACATGAGCTGTTTGCCTAACTCTTATGGCGAACTTGTGCGGTTCGTGCACGCGTTGAACGGTGGCTCCATCTCATGTAAGCCACTGCCTGTTTTGAGATGCAAGTCGACTTTTGGTTATCAATTTTGACTCTCAACCCAATTTTTTGAGAGCCACGAACGTAGTCTACAGGAAACTTCACAAAACTTTTATGGGTTTTTCGCTTTTGGCCCATTTTTCTGTTTGTTCAGTTCTGATCGAATTTATCTCGTTTTTTTGCGCCCACTGTTTAGTGTTTCCTTAGAAACGGAAGACAGAATATAGTAGTTTGTTTGCTTATCTTTTTCAGATACTTTTTACCTTTGGTAATGTGGAAATCTATTGAGGTTGGAAATAAGGTGATCGTGCAGAAATGCGACTCCTATCAAGTTCTTGAAGTTCGTCCCAATGTGTAGGTAAAAAGAACTTACTTCTTATTCCAAGTTCTTTTCAGTAAAATCCATTCTATGCACTTTTTACAGGCTCATTGATGTGGGCAAAACCAAAGTTCCGGCATCAACCATCATTGGCTACCCCATGGGGTCGACCTTCTACTTCGATGGAACTCGTGTTGCTCAAGTTAAGGCTGATGAAATAGCCCTTGAACCCGTTGATGTGGAGTTCTCGAAGGACAATCGGCACCTTTTGGATCGCTCTGAAAATCAGTTATTGACAGCAGAAGATATTCAAAGTCTCAAGTCTACCGGTTCCACCGGAAATGTTCGTCTTCTCTATTTTCCTCCTATAATTAATGCATCGCGTTGATTCTAGGCGATAATTTCCAAGTTAGTAGAAAAGTGCACAACTTTTCGACTAAAGACAAAGTTCTCTCAGGAAAAATATTTGAATAAGAAGAAGAAGTCTTACCTCTGTGTTTTTACGGTACGACCTTACACCGCTCGGAATATTGCCGACATGCAAATGTGCTGCAAAGCAACGTATGTCCTCCTTATGCTCAGTTCATTGCCTTCGATTCCTTACATTTCATGCGATATTGCCTGTATTGAAGCGCATTGCGTTACGATTCGCTGGTACAGCTGCTGGCTTTTGCCAATGTTCATGCTGGCTGCACGGTTTTGTTAACCGAAACCTATTCTGGTTTGGTCACCAAAGCAGTCCTTGAACGGTTGGGACATCGCGACCTCGGGGGTCGTCTCGTCACCTTCTTCCACGGTACCTCACCCCCTATTGTGGATGTTGCATTGGCTCGGGAATCGCCTCCAGTACGTTCCAAGTCTCTCATAGCTTATTTTCTTGCATTCGTAGTCCCAAAACTCCTTTCCTGTGGTCACAGGCGTAAAAATGCATTATAGTTAAATAAATAGACCTCACTAGTCTTTCATCCCTTTTACTTTGTTTGGATAATGTGGAAAAGATAATCTTTGAATAGTGTTTGCACATATAGCAGGCTGCCATATTAAGGCTCTGACGTGTAATACTGTGCCTTAAGCATTCGGTATTTGCACATTTGTAGATTTATAATGTTCGATTTGGAGACGTTACTTCTCTCCTCTTGACTGGTTTGTTCGCTAAGGAACACCGAGATGACTCTGTGGCAGGGCCTCCACAGCATAAGGCAAGGTCCATTTCCACTTTGCTACATTGTCACAACTAAGCACAAGAATTTAATTCCCTTTTTTCCATTGTGTTGTTAGAAACCACGCATGGAGGAGACAGGTAAGAGAAGCAAAAATTTGCCCCTTTTGCCCATATTTCCGTGCGCATTAATGACTTCCATTGGGCCATTGTAGCTGCTGAATCGTGTTTGGTTACAAGTGGGGCTAAGTCGCGTAAGTGTTGAACGATACCTTCTCGGGAAGCATCTTACTTGAATCACTGCTAATTTTAGCACTTTATTGGATCTCCAGCTAGCGCTGAATCATGCCCACTTGGGAACAAGGGGACTGCTGAGGATGTTACGCAAAATCTTAATCGTGTCTCCGAACGCCGATCAAAGAAGGCAGAAAACATGTCGGAAGCGGAGAAATTGAAGCGGTCTCAAGAGAAGCAGGAACAATTGGACGAGGTTCGGCGGATTCTCTGCCCCACGGATGAGCAACTTTCACAAGAACTTGAGGATCGACCTGATTGTCTCATCGTGGCCTCGCGGTTTTACCCCGTTGAAATCACCCTCTTGTTGATGCAATTTCTACCACCTGGTCGACCTTTTGTAGTTCACTCGCACATTCTTCCGGTGGGTATTCATTTTACTTAGTACATGCATTTGGACTTACTGACTTGTTGACTTGCTACTAGGCTCTTGTCGACTTATACAATGTTTTGAAAAGGCGAGGTAGTTGTGCTCAGTTGTCTCTCCATGACACCTGGTTGCGTCCGATACAAGTTTTGCCCGATCGCACACACCCGGCTATTCGGATGACCTCAGGTGGTGGCGGTTTCATCTTACGCGGATACACTGTCCAACGACGCGAGGATCCAGACGCCTTTTTGAGGCGCTCCACCATGCGAGCCTCGACGAAGCAGCTGTTTGATGAGGGACTCATTTCTTACGCGCAGTAATGGTTAACTGTATTATATTGTTGGTAATCACATCCAAAGTGTATTATTTTCGGACCTTTTGCCTCATTTCGCTCTGTAGATGTTGTGAGCATAACGAAAGGCCGGGCTTATTTTGTTTACTGATATATTGTAAATAGCATTTAAGTTCTTGGCTTTTCAGCGTGTTGCCCAAGTCAGGAGACGGGGTTACCTAGGCGGATGAGATCGCCCCTACGTGACCTGATACTTGTGCATTTGGCTGTACGTTCCAAAATCGCGGTTGATCTCAACTTGATGCCTTCTCTGATACCATGGAATATTACAATTTCATGACTGGAATCCCTGTTCTGGCACGCCGTCCTATTACAATTACTTTAAGGCTGAGAACAAGTTCTGTATCAATGAAATTAGGTCACGGTACGGTCGACGAACAACTAGTTCTTAATACTACAAAGTTAAGTGTTCCGCGTTTTGAGGACATACAGAAAGATGTGTGTGTGGACGCTGATAGACATTCTCGAACTCCGTTTCTCTACACCTATTTTGAATGACCTTGTGTTACTATGAGTTAGTAGTCCTCCTGATGTGTTTTCTTTGTCTTCATGAGCATTTACTAAGCACGTTTTCAGCTGTCAAGGCTATATGAGTCTGTCGCACAGCTCATGTGTGGTCGTGTCGCATGTAGATGGAATTGTGAGTTTAAATGTTCATTTTATCCTCAATGGTTTATGTCCGCGCTATTAGGTTCGTGTGTTTATTTCTCTACTGTCTCCAAACCGGTAAGGAAGTAGACATTTCGTTCTATCCTTTTTTTCGCCCAAAATTTATCGGCCACCTGTCATGCCTCGTGACTTTGTTACGACTGCGTCTGTAAGGTACTGCCAGTGTAGGCACGTATAGACGCACATTTGTGTATAGATTTGTTTACATCCATAAGACTATATAAACCCCAGCTTGGAAGGGAAACAATTCATCGGCTGCAATGGAGTCGCCACTCGCCTTGTCACTTATACTGATGCTGGGTTCCCACCTTCTCAGAGCTGAGAACTTAAACATCCCCAGTAGGTGACTTGAAATTTGCTCATTTTGTTGCTTCTTTTGTATTTCATCAACTCGTTTTCTTTGGCTATTTCCCTTCCCCTTCAACCACTTCTATTCCGTCCGGGGGAGTAGGCCATTACAGTATCAAAAGTGATATTTTGGAGGCGTTAACAACACATCCTAGTCGACAGATGCATTTGTTGTCCCTTCTCAAGGTTCATATTACAAACATTCAGTTAAACGGTGGAAAGTTGGCTGATGATGATTGGCAATTTGACTTCTTCCTAGGGAGTGCTTTCATCCATCGAAAAGAATGTAATTTGGATGATAGTAGTGCTTTCTGCATCAAGAATTCACGTAATGCAAAACTTTTTCCCTTTACTTAGGCTTTGGGAGCATCTTCGTTCATTTCCAATTAGTCAGTCACATACTACTATTCACTTAAATAGTAGCGCTGACAGTGTAGTTCAGTGATCAAGGCAAGTAACCACGCAGCGTTCTGTTATAATGGGTAAAATTAAATCCTGATTCTAATACAATTCGATTAATGCGATAAACGCGCCTGTGCTTTATGACGTCACACACGTCATAACACTGCCATTTTCAATGCCTTTATGGGGATCAACTGAATCAGCAGAGCCACTTGATTGTGTCGCGCATTAAAACAGCCTTTGAATCAGGCTTCACAGGGAGAGTTGAGCACATTGAGCAAAGTTAGTCAGTCTTAAAAGATCGTTTCATTGAGTTTCGCGAGCCTTCTGAGTGTGGCTAAAAATATGTATTTAGCATTCCTGAGGGGAATAAAGGAGGTGAGGCTTTGTCATCCTTGTAGAATGCGAAGCAAGTAATTGTGAAGACCCCTATGCCGAATGCTTCAACTTTACCTCAACGCTGTGTTGCGTCTGCCCGCCTGGATTCAATGGTGGTGGATGGGAGAAGTGCATCAACCGACGTAAGATGATTGTTTTTTTTTCACAAATCCTTTTAAGGACTGGTATAGCAACACAGCTAAATCACCTTCCGTCCCTCTTAACTTGCAGGATCTGTAGATCGTTTTATCCGGCTTAAAGGGACACTATCAATCAGAAACCCTGAAAATAACCACGACCACAATTTTCCCATCTCTCACGAGACAATCACGATGCGTGGACCACCTCTGGGTCAAACAGCAATATACGATGTTCCCTCCATTGGTGCGGTGCAAAATATGCTTCGCCTCCTCACACCATATCTTCATTACATCAACAGTCTCACTAGCTTTCCATCCAGAAACTCACGATTCTACAATGTGTTCTCTCTGACAGGCGGATTTTCCAACCTTGTTCTTCTCAGATTCAATGTGTCTTATCAGGGTCTCGGCAACCTTCTGATCGAGACCACGATTCAGCGCTCCATCTCCGATCCCGATTACTTCGAAGGAAATATGAATGTAGAGGTAAAGACTGGGAAGTCATTCAAGGTGCCGAGGGAGACCTACGTGGAAAGGCAGTTTGGCGATGGAACAATTGACTACTCCAAAATTGCACGAGGTGTTCTGCGATTCAGACGGAAACATATGAAGCTCGCTGCAATAAATAGGCAATCGTCCAAGGTATTGCGAGTTAGCATAGTCGGAACGGGCTACGTGACAGTGGACGAAGCAGCATGTCTGCTGCAGAACGGTTCACTAGTGGAGGAAGCTAAGGATGGCTTCAGTGTGCTACTCAATCCAAAGGGCTACTGCAACACGGCTTGCCCCCACAGCAGCACCTTCTGCACCATCTACTGTCTCGACTATCCTGTTCTCGAGTCTCGACAGGCTTGTGAGTATAAAACTATATCGCATCCTTGCGTACCACGCTTCTTTAATCTATCGAATTTAGGCTTTGTATATTTCAAGTAGTACATACGTCCCTGCTTACAATGAGGATGGATATTTTCTTCAACAAATCAAGCAGATTTTAGGAATGTTTGACAAAGCTACAGATTTGGTGGTGATTGGCGAAATTAACGAACCTCATTATCTCAGCCGTCGTGTGCCTGGGACACTTGCAAGAGCTGTTTCATTCCTAAAGCAACTAGTTATTGCTTTATTTTGTGCAATTTAGCTGGGTTCGGCTCACCAAAAATTCCTTCTTCCAAGAGTGTATTGGACCACCCTATACATTGCTTGCAGGTTGTGTGCACGAGTCTTAATCATAACATATTTGTTTACCGTCAAATATATCTATATGTCTGTCAGATGCTGTCTCGTACGTTTGTAAACCATGTCATTTTTGTTGAAACGACAAGCACAATCTTTCGCGAATACCTAGCATTGAAGAATGCACAGCCCCCTTAGAATGAGTAATCGCTCGTCAAATAGTAAATTCTACTTCTTGCTCCTGTAGCCTTTTTCTTGATATGCTCCAAAGCTTCTTGGTATGATTTTGATTCCTTCTAATTATGAGCAAATATGAAATGTACAAACACTAACCCATGCCCTTTCTAAGTTAATTTACATCCATTGAGTGGGGTAAGGAGTAGTAAGGAGTCTTGTTAAACGTAGGGAATGGTGCCCTAGGTAGGTCAAGACAACTCACTTTCTTTCACCTTTTTTACGAACAATGGTAATCGAAGGGTCATTAACGGCAGTCACTGACATCCTGGTGATGTGACCATGCCTTGGTTGGGAGGAAACAGTCCTGCTACACTGCAGAGAATTTCTGATGCATTTGCCTGCCATCACCATCATTGACATCTTGAAGAAGAAGGAAATTGGCAGCAGAATTTTTCCCTCCTTTCTCATATTCTTCTTAACAATCTCACTAGGTTAGCATCTTTGTAACACAAAGTAAGTGTTCTTTGAAGACAAATCTCATGGTTTGTGTTTAACATGATCCAGCGTCGAGGCTTTCGAGTGAAGCGACTGCTTAGTTAAGAAGAAGCTTGGAAACCCTATTCGGTTGGGTGACACATTCTGTGGATTAAAATGACTTTCACTTCCCCACTATCAGTCAGAAGCTTTTTTTAAATTGCTTTAAATATGTAACCGCAATCACTATGTTGCAATTCATTCTAAGTGTATACGGAAGCAGAGGGTATTCGGAAGCCTCGGATCACTGACATGGAGGAGGAGGAGGAGGATGACGAAGAAGGAGACGAAGAAGAAGGAGAAAATGAAGGAGAAAATAAGGGTTAGTGCCTTTATTGGTGCAGCCTACTATGAATGCTAACGGTAGTTATTACTGTAAAAAAAATAATAAATTCGGATAAGGTCACATGCTAGGTCACTCGTAATGTGCCGTCGGCTTAGTAAAACAAATTCCAAGCTAGAGATCTCAGCCACCTTTTCAAGATGTCTACTTATAGCATTTTTTCTATTATGCACTTTTCAAAGCATGTGTTGGTAACTGGTCAAACTTTTGTCAACGGTCATTGACCGAATTAACAAAGCACGTTTGGTGTCTCTCGATTTTTCTACTACCGCTCGGAATGCGCGCGAACGATGAAACAACTTGTCCTTACTGGATTTAGTAGCGCGTCATAATTTGTTATTGATAAATATCGTTGATGAAACACTTTAAGGTCATACCCAGTGCGGCTTGCTCTACAGGTGGGGGAGCGCACTGCCAAACTCCAAGCGCTTAGAGAACTCACGCACTTAAACGTATTCAATAATGCTAGGATTGAGATGTTTGTCTGAAGTGTTAACTTAACTTGGGTATTTGTACTGGGTGTGCGGAGGGAAGGAGATTACACAGAGCTTTAAATCACATTTTGAAGCTCACTATGACCCAGCGTCCTACTGTTTTCATGCCGAAGAGCTAAACGCCATAGGTAGAATGTGATAAAATTTGTGAGGAAACAAAAGCAACCCTCAATACATACAGGCTAACTCATGTCCTTCTCAGTCCAAACTACTGTCCCATGTGTGGGATAAAATGAAAAATTGGAGGCAATTTAATTTAACTTAATATTAGATTTGTAGTCTGTCGGCCATATAAAGAAAGTAAAAATGTAGGCTAATTGGAAGTTCACATGATTGCAAAATAGGTGATTACTTTACGCAACAAAGTTAACCTTAATTCAGTTTTGTAGAACGCGTTACTTCTTGTTGCCTCCTCAGGCAGGATTTTTGCATTAAAAGTCTTAGATGGGATCCAGTCTAGCAGTAGGGCATTCTATCATGGTCCTATGCCATCTCTCGTGGGAATTCGTCTACCTTACGAACCTAATTTAATTCACTTCAAAGATCTGAAAGAGCCATATGCACAATCTTTCTGGTGAGGATGTGAAACGATGACGGAGCAGGTTGGTCACACTCTAAAATGCAGAGACAAGAAGGTAATGCTGGCTTGTAATAAGCTAAAAACGTGGGTGCAACTAACCGATAAATAACCCTCTGGAACCACCGGTTCCCTCTCCTTCATTCCACTCCTTTCTCTCTGGTTAGTTGAATGGTGAACTTCTCTCTTTTGACTCCAACTCCCACCTTACCTGCCTCTGGTTTAAATAGGATGTTGTAAGTTTTCATTTAGGTTCTGTTGTTGAAGGTCTAGTGGTTGCAATCAGCTTTTATCCTTACAATTCAAAGAAAGCCAAAGATGTGGAAGAGTGAGTAGAGCTTGTTAATCAATGAGACTGAAAGTCCTGGTCCCTATCTCAGGGTCACAGGTGAGAGGAATGAATGAGAGACGGATACTGATCCATCCTCAAACCCTAATATTCTCGTGATGATCAATTCCACCGCACATGAGTGTTATGATTGGATAGTCGTCAGCTAATTGGAATAGACGGTTTTGAAACATTGGTGGGGCGAAACGAGGGTGTTTGGGTATTTTTAGCCTTTTGTGAAGCTTATGCCAGCATAAAGTCACAAGGTCCTTTTGATTTGTGTGTTTCTAGACGTTGGGACCTTCAAATGAGCACTGTCAAATTTCTCATTGTTTAAATGTGTTGAATTCTAGGGTGAATGAAGAGTTTAGCTGTCGCCTTAACTCACGGCATCCCATCTTGTCTGTTTGATATCGGTGCGATGCTCCATGTCAAATTGAAATAGATTAAAGAGTGGTTATTTTCGAATTGGCGAATTGACACAAGTGAGTAATCACACTCTCGCGATTTGGTGTCAGATGTTGTAAGAATCGGCGAAAATAAACTCCTCACTCTTCAAACCGATAACAGTCTACGTTTTTTGTGCGTTCTTGTTCGGGGCAAAAGTAATTGATCTGCGATTCCAACCTTTGGCACACCTTATAGTTGACCTCGTGTCACTCACACCACCGACTCTAGGATGTTACAATTGACCCAAGTTGACTGTCTCGCCATTACCACCTCATTAAGAAGGAAAAAAACCGAGACCATCTTTAGCTCTCCAAATTTAAGTTGAAAAGGACATGGTACTGAGCCAGAGTATGCATTACCTACATATCTGAAGCCTTCCCAAGGTGAGATTGCTTGGAAAGCATACACTATCGGAACCTCAAGTGTCCATGGAGCCAAAACGAATAGTTACTTTAGAATCGAAGCATTGCATACCAAATAGAACATCAAAATAGCTTAAATGCTTAGAAGAAATTGCAAATCCTCTAGGCTAACACCATTTTATTCAATTACCTTTCAGAATCTGGAATCGCGTAGGAGGATGATCGCTTCTGTGACCGTGCTTGATTCACATAATGCAAAATATAGCTTTCCTTGGCCTTTAATTTCTACTACATAATTACAGTTCGCTCTCATTAATGGTGCCTCTTGCGTCACATCTGCTTCAAAGCATAGGTGCGGGATGATGCAGCCTCCATGTTTCTTGATACGGTCGTAACGTCAGTCCTCCAATCGTTAGATGTTCGTCAATACGGACTTGTATCAAGGGCTTAGTTACTTCCTCACATTTGTTTATTTAATAAAATGTCAGTGAAAATGGTACAACAAACAAACCAATTTCATAACCAACATTGGCCTTCATTTATTTTGGTGTTGATTCGGCATCCATATTAGATTTTAATAGTTTAGCAATTTGCTGTCTCCCAGTTAGCTCATATAAGTGGTCCAATTGTTCTTAAAGTAAAGAAAACAATGAAATCATGAACGATTGATCAAATAGCACACTAGCCTGAATGGCAACCTAGGCTCGTCTTCATGAACGATAAGAAAAATAACGGCAATAGAGAGCCCGATCAATGGGTAGTCGATAATCCATGCCTGGCTCATTGATTATCAGACTTTGGTCAAATTATCCGTCTGCATGTGGTACGAGGACGCAGTGAATGGTGTGGTAAGTGACTGTTTTGTCCAGTTGTCGCTTTTCTTTCATTGTGTTAAATATTGCAAACTGAATTCCAATTTTTTTGTTCCTTAAATTGCTCCTTCGAAATTACCTTCTCGAATGCGATATTGTAAATTGCAAGCAAAATATTTGATTCCTCGGAATAGGAAATAGCACTTTACTGAATTCTGGACTTTACTCTTATTTATGAAGGTTATATTGTTACGTCATTTATTCTTCTTTCGAGTAAACAATAGGTCAGCTTACTTTTCCACGTGTTTTGTTTGTAAATCACGATACTTTAAAAGTTCCATAGTAAAAAAAATGCTCACTTAGAGGAGTGAATTGTAGGAGTTTCTCCGTCTCCTAATCAACTCCAAGTGGGATGAAGGCATACGTCTTCAGGTGTTATTGGTTCTAATGAAATATACCGATTTTAAGCTTTATTCGCTTGAGTAGCCACCTTTTTTGTCGTTCGGCGTTTATGTCTGTCATTCATTTTTGAAAAGGTTTGAGGTAAGTATGCAAATCAAATATCTGGTGAGTCTCACAACTGCTTTGCACTACATCGATGGTGGAACTTTGCGCTCTCCTACACACTCTGCGTTCATGTTGATAAGGTGAAGCAGAGATGAGACTACTGACCTTATGAATTAAATTTAATACGCGGAATTCCTTTTACACTGGCTGAAATGATAGACAGCATCTCTACTTTGGCCTCCCGCTACAACTTTTAAAAGAGCCGATTTTGGGAAGAACTTTGCTTCAATGCATGTGCGTACAGTTAAATGATGACAGAAATGAGCGGTAATGGATGTAGCATATTTGAAGGGGTGAATAGAGGTGGTTCTTGCAGCTAAGGTGTCATTGTGGAATTCTTTCAACAGTTTTTTGGGCACCGTTAGTCGCTCTCAGAACGTGCAGATACGGCTCATTCAAGACATTGCTCACACAGTGCTTCACTTTTCACTCGTCAATAAAGTCCTTTACTCAAACACTAAACTTCAATGAAAGGAGGTAGGGTGGGTTGACTTTTAATTGTTGAGACTAGTTTCAAGTTGAATGGAGTGCGTATTCAAGTGCAATAAATGTCTTCCGACAAAAACATACTTAACTACAGGTGTAACTCAAGTAGATGCTTTGCCACTACTAGAAGCATTTGTTTTAAGAATGTCTGCGTGTGTTCACTCGATTACCTATTCTATTCTATTCAAATGTAAGAATATGTTACTAATCTAGAAATTTAGGGCAACGAACACCAGACAACTTTATGGACAGGTTTAATTAGTGCCCCGCGCGATGTGATTCAGTGAAAGGAAAGTGAAACAACTTCAACCTAAGAATTTATGTAATGTGAAAATACAAGATCACCATCCATTGTCTTGTGTTGCCGGAGACGTGAATCGGGAACTCGTTTACTGCTTATCGCGAGAAGGTGCAACTCACTTGTAGGTGACATTTTTACTGTGAATGGCTTAAAGCGTATGGAAGTTTTTTTACTCATACTCCGATTTTACTATCAGCAAATTACTATTTCTTTCATACTAGCTTACAGAAACAATAATTACCTGTGGATAAATGTTGAACTTATTTTTGAGTTACTAAGTGCTTAACTGACATTTGTAGCTTTACACAGGACTGGGAATGACCTTTTTTGTTCATAAGGGTTTATATCATGGACTACAAATGCATTCCCGAAAGAGGACATGCGTGTTTGACTTGTGAAATTTAATATTCGCGCAATGTGAGCTCAACAATGTTGGAGTGCTTGCAAATTTTCTGATTTATTTCATTTAAGACATTGTACCACCATTGTTTATTACCGCTACAAATGGGTGAGGCAGCTCATTTATGCATCAGCATTTGCGACTTTTAAATAGAAAAAAAATAATGGCGCTCAGTTTACCCTAAAGTCTATACTTAAACGGAATGGCATTTATTCGTCATAGGTTTGGCCTTGCGAGTTAGCATTGCCCCCTCCTTTGATCCCGAGATTTCGACAAGTCTACGATCACTCCATAACGGTGTTTAGTTGGAGCGATAATTCCATATTTGCTATTAGTATGAATAGCGAACGGTGAATGCCAGTGGTAAGAATTACAAAGCTTTAGCCTGCCTATCGATAGAGCGTCTTGTATCAACCTGGCCTAAATTCTAAACGGACTCAGGGAATTATAAGGAGCAGTGGCACTCCTACAAAAGCTAGTATAGAATTGGTGCGCGATCTCACAATCGGTACCAATGGTTTAAATGCGTATGAATGTGTGTGGGTGTGTGTGTGTGTGTGTACAAAGGTGTGACAGACACATTGGCTATATACTCCAACAAACTCAAGGTACGATAGACATCAATTATTTGGATCTATAATGAGTAAGTCCGAGTGGTCAGATGGTTTGGTCACCGTGAGTTCCCTTCAGTGCCATTATTTAAAGTAAACCTAAAGACTTTTGCAAACTAACTTGAGGATCAGCTTTACTGGATCATTTATCACCATCTATTATCGCAGTCAGATTTTTGGAAGGAAATAGTTGCTTCAACTGACTCTAAATAACGAAAATTTTTTACTTTGCACATCGATGACTGATAATCCGTTTTGATCATGTTAATAATTAATTTACCATCTTTTAGTGTAGAGTCATTTTGCAAGAATAACTCAAAAATGCATGGATTTGGTAAGAATTACGTAGGTTTTTTTGTCTTACTTATTGCATTTTTTTCACAGGTAATGAGGCAAGAACTTTTTTGGATATGTGCCAAATAGGGGTAGAACACACAGTTATTTAGTTGAAAAGTGCGTGCATGCTTTCCCCTATGGTTGGGCGTGTACTACTGATTTGAGCCCAAAACCTTCATCGTTTTAATTAGGTAGACGGCATCTACATTTTTGTCTTCTAACGTTTCTGCGCAAAATTTCAACCTCAATGGTTAAACCTTGAACCATGCAGATATCAGAGCGATTTACTTTTTTTTTGAAAAATTGAAATAATCACATCAACTGGTTATTTTCAATTCGTTCAATGTGTTTACCCTCATATAACCTCTTCTGTTATTGAGGGCCGTTGAATTGTCATGTCACTACACTATCAAAATGTTAAATGCCGAATGACTGACAATTGCATCATATTTGTTTAGGCATCTTTCCGTTACGAAGAAGAGTAATCCGAGTACACTCATCTTACTTTTGCGTTAGCTTCAATGTCATAGGAAATTCGTGGTCTTGGGACTTGTCCTCTTTCTCGCAGCATTTCTGGCCATTCGGACATTTTTTGGACAAGATGATTGTATGTCATTTGTTTTCTTTCACTTAATATTACTTGTCTCCAAACTCGAACGGGACAACATTGTTTTGCTAGGATATCTTTTCTCCTTTAAACGCATCTTGAGCAATTGTAAATTTTTATTTGTTGAATATTGAAATTAACCATAGGGAGGACATTTTACATGGGCTTTATAAAAGCACTAGTATCATTGCATATGAATTTTTCCCCAATGATTTTGGTTCTGGGAGTGGGTGAAGGCCCAGGGACTTTACGTGAACACTGCGCTTTATTCTTCGTACTTAGCTGACCCATGTGCACAATAGCTAGTTGGGCATTGTTGTACTTAAGGCGACACATGCAATGAACTAAGCGTTCACTAGGTTTTATGATCTCTCATGATCAACTAAACAACGGTTAAATGAAATTCAAAACTCTCCAAAGTGAATTGCTTTTGAGTACTAGGGAAGTAAATGGAATGATTGACTTTGATTAGTATATTGACATAAAGTACAGACATCCAATAAGGTGTTTACATCTTTCTGGATTTTAGATGTTTGCTGTAGGGAAATAACACTTCAAAAAGATGGAGTTAATTTGGTAAGATGATGAAATGTATTGGAGAATTCCTCGTGTCATTGTAGAAATCAAGTCATACTATGCTCTAATTCAAATGCCTTTTTTTCTTTACGTCGACGATCTTTGCATTATTCATCTCGTAATAAGAAGCTCCATTTGTTAACAACATTACTTTCCGAAATAGATTTGCTCTTTATACATATGAGACTTCAGAAACTGAATTTTATTAAAGGTGTGTAAAATAGCTTAGGAGAAATTGGGTGAGAAAGTTTTGTATATTCAGTACCTTGTCGAAGTCTATTCGGGTTTTAATTTAGTCTTTTGGTCGCAATCCAAGAGGTTTCGTAAGTTTTTCTCAACAAACAAATTATTGACTCATTTTTTTTAAAATCAACTTTGAGTGCCATAGGTAAGCATGCTAATGCTCACAAGTCACCAATGAACTCTGCCTCCATTCTTCCCATACTCACCTCAAAGCACCTAGTTTAAAGCCCTTGTTTACTTTGATTCTGTTTTGTACAAAATTTTTAAAGCGTCCTGTGCAATGTCCTATTTATTACTTAACAATGCATCACATTAGTTAAGGTTAGAGTGAATCAAAAAGTGATCATAGAGCCTCATATTCCTTTCTAGCCACTAAATTTTTCATGACTATCTCAACACTCTACTATCTAGCATTTAAACTAGAAAGTATGCAAACTAGTACCATTTAAATGGGACAAGTATATTGGCTAATCTACTCATGCTGATCTCGTAAAAGTAAGGTAGATTCATCTCCAAGTAAAGAATATAGAGGTTGAATGCTAATGCAAACTGTGTGGCACCTTTAATGCGCTGCGATCACTTCCACTGTTCAATTGCACCAATTTCACTCAATTGTTCAACAATTTTAACCTAAATGCACCGTTCTGTCACTTTCATCAGTTACCTTCTTTTCCTGTAGTTTTTCAAACCTGATATCAAAAATGACGTTGAAAGAATAGCTAGAATCAAGAAGCTTGGGAATGTCTTACCGAATGAAGCTCTGAATGAACTAAGGAATTACCTTCTTCGGAAGTCAATGGAAATTTGCACCTCTCAGATGGAATTCAACAAGTACTTCGTTACAGCTTATAGCCTTTTATCTCGGCTGAGTACAAGTTGTACACCAGGTCATTTACAGCTTGCGATGACAAAAGAAAGCCTTTCACACTGCCTTAGTGAACGGAAGAATGACTATTGTTTCTCTTTTGTAATAACGCCCTCTACACTCTCCTCCAAATTCTTAATTGCTACGCCCGATTTTGGTATCAATCAAAAGGCCTTTGCCTCAGTAGCATTCGGCATGGTTTTCCCTTACTGGCCCATGGTTTCCATAACACTTGTCTTTCCTCACCCGATATTCTATTCATCTTTAATGATCAAAAATCCCTACGACAAGCCTTACGTAATAGGAGCTCATTTAGGAAGTCTTCAGAATGGTGGCAATGGTAACACATCTGCAATGATAGACAGTCTTTCATCCATGGCTGGTGTTAAAGTCGTAATCAAAGGTGGGACCGATGTTAGATGCTTTCCCAACGGACTTCCACCAACACACGAAAATCCACAGTACTTACCGTGCAGTCAAGCAGGAGATGTGAGTTTTTTGGCTCTTCATTTACGACCTAGTGGAAATTTTGATACGACGAATGGAAAGCTTTATCACTTTATCATTTCTATTCCCTAGTAGTTTAATGAGACTGAAAATCACATTTTTTTTTCTGTATGAAATCTTGCTCTATTATCTGGCCTTGCACCTCCTTTTATCGTATATGTAGCATTCTATTGTGATAAGTCATTTCGTGTTTCATCGAGTTTTGATAGCTATAATTTCACTTAAGAGGATTTTTGCATTAAGAAGCCTTTGACTCGAGCTTAACAACTGGCGCAATGCATTGCTATATTTCCTTTTTTTGAATATTTTAGATTCTTCAAAACTCCTCATTTTGTCTAGTCATTGTTAATAATTGGGAGGCATTGACATCTTCGGCAGTTCGATCCATTCACGCGCAACTGTGGGCATGCTTTTTCTACCGTTCAATTCCTGTCATCCCGACCAAATATGAACCAGCACAAGTGGAAAAATACCTACCTTTCTTTAGCCTTCTTGAGAGTCTCTGGTCCAAAGCTATCGTATACTTACCATTTACTAGTGCACAGAATTTTGTTTCAAAGCTAAATGAAATTTCGAAGCAAGAGCGTATCATGCGACTAGATAAGGTAATGTTGAACACCAAAGTTAATACAAAATGCAACTGCTATAGAAGAATTACACCAATTTGTTGGTTGTGATCGTTTGTAGATCTCGAAACTTTTCAATCGCCACTTGGAAACCGTTGGAAAGCAGGTAGAGACTGCCGTGGCAACATTGAACAAGGCACTTTTACTGCCCCAGCCGGCTGTTCCAACAGTTCGGACACGTTTGGTTGCTGAAATTCCACGGACTCAAGTTCGGGTTTATACCCTTGACGAAGGCTACAACGAGAGCAAATCCATAGTAGGCTCTAACTTGGCTCAAACTGAGCCGCTCTGCAATACATCAATGAGAGTAGATTTTGAAGGACCTCTATGGACATTTGACAAAACACCCTGGACTATGTGCCACAAATCTTCTTCAAGTACGATTCTCACTGCTTTCCTATTTTGGCGCTATGCATATTCAAACGATACCTACTTTTTTATTCCTCCCAAGTTACTAGGGCGTTAAACCGGTAAACAAATAGGCTTCAGTCTTCTTAGGAAAAATGCTTTATCGCTTCAATTCTGGATGGTCAGCTCTTCCATTCCAAGGCGGGGATACTGTGCTGGTTCTCTAGTAGCATTAGTGAACTTGGGTGAATTTAGTAATTGACATCGAACCTGTTTCGTACGAAAGTCTTTAGTGCAACTTTATTGGGTATTTTATTGTAAAAGTTAGTTAATTCTACAGTTAGCAGACCTTTTGCTAGGGCTTTTGTGGTGTACTTTTGTGCATTTAGAGCAAATTCCTCACCTCACCAATGTGTCCATCTACGCTCACGTCTCTTACTTTTCCATTTTAGGCGAGCTGAATTTCCCTAGTAAATTTACTAGTAAGTTTCTTATATAAAATTTTAAAACTCAAAGCTAATAGCATGTAGCTTAGTAATGCTGTAAAGTATTGCCTTAGCAAACTACACAGCTGGGCCTAATGGTCCTCTCCAAACCTAAACAATGGATGCAAGAGAGAGCCCAAGTTTCAAAGGCCTCCAGTTGGTGAATGGTCTTTTTGCGCACAAAACATTAGCTGCATAGGCTGACATGTAGGCTTTTGTTGCTGTGTTTTCACCTGACTGTTGCATCACCGAGAACCCGCTCGATGCAAAAATTAAAACGAGAATGCACCAACTGGAAGACATCAGTCTCATGTCTCTTAGTAATTACGCGAGTGTCTCGTTCATTTAATGTTTAAGAAGACGGATATAATTGTGGTCTTTTTTTTTTCACACCATTGACATGAAAACAATTTTGGTGTACTTTAGCTGTCTTTTTGGCATACGACAGAATCTCAATGTTGATTAAAAATATTGGAGTCTTTCAACACATTAATAATTTACTGGATTCCATTGTGGTCGTTTGGAATCATCCATATTACAGACCAGAGACCTATCAATGGCCCAAGACACCATTCCCGATACATGTAAGTAATTTTGTGTCGTCTGGATGTTCATTCATTTGCTCTCATTTATACTTGTATACCTCATGCATAAATGGCGAAATGGATCTCCTCTCCTCCCAAAAAAATCATTTGACCGACTTATCAATTTACAAAGTATGCACTGAAACGTATACTGGTGAGAACAGTGAAGCCTTTAGCAAGCTTTCCTCCAATCAGTTAAAGATTATTTCAAAAATCATACCAGAGTTTCTGCTTGCCACTTCATTTGCAACTTGAAGTTCACTTAACCTTTGATATTGACACTGATGTTGCCGTGTTTATTCGCATGCAATTTCATTCATTCAAACATTCATTTAATTGTTTGTTCATTCATTCTAGCGAAACTGCAGGTCTAGTCATAGTGACTGAGATACTTGCACCACTACACTCGTAAACACACCGACACATTTAGCCGGCATCTCTTGATGCTCCAATTTGCGCTAACCATAAGGTTAATAACGTTTGACAAGTTGGAGGCATGGTGGAATAGATATAAAGTTTTAGGCTTTCCTGCAACCTCCGAGTGGACAAGTAATGCACAACTTCTGAATGCCTCCTGATCGCTTAAATTTCATATCCCCATTCGAATGTCGAAATATCTTACAGCTGACACCCTTCAGCACTTGAAAATTAGTATATTTTACTCTAAAGTAATTTTGCAGACTTTTTTTTAGTCATTTTAAGATTCAGCAAGGAGGCTATGCTGCATTTATTAAAGTTAAAATACTTTTCTGGTTTTAGGTGATTCGTGTGCCTTTAAACAAACTTCAGAGCCGATTCCTACCCTTTGATCTGATCAAAACTGATGCTGTGTTGACAGTCGATGATGAGGTGGTTCCAGACCTGAGTGCAATGAAATTGGGCTTTGGGTAATAAAGCTTGCGTATTTGCTGATATGATATTCATTGTTCTATAGAGCTTAGTTTATTAAATACCAAACGCAAAAAAAATCAAAAATAATTGTGATAGCAATTGAATGGTAATTGTGCTTTTATCTGTTAAGGGTGTGGAACGACAATCCAGATAGAATAGTGGGCTATGTTGCAAGGAGCCATGAATGGTTGAAAAGTCATAGCAATTTCAAATACATTGCCTCTGCCACCAGTCCGTACTCCTTAATTTTGACAGGCGCATCGTTTCTTCACAAGGTTAGTCCCTGTTTCCTATCCGCTTTAGTTGACACTAAAACTCCTCCTCCATTTAGTCCGTAATTACTACACTCAACTTCAGCTCCGTTGTTATTACACGAGCACTATCAAAGTGGACGCAGTTAGCTTATAACAACTTCTGCTGCGGCAATAACAGTTCTCTCAAGTAATGTTACGCACGCGCTTATAATAAAGAACGCACACTCATAAATTCACTTTGTTTCCTCGCAGTAGGCTTCTACACATTCCTTTGCCCGAACTATAGTCTGTATCACCTTGTAGGCAAAGTTAGGTAGGACACTTAAAGACGGGAAATGGGTCTAGGATGATTAGGCAATGTTAGTTATCCATGTTGTCCAAATCTTCCATGCGAGGCACGGTTTAGAAGTGCACATGTCCAAATTTTGTAATGCCTTTCAGTACTTCCTCTACGCCTACACATTCGAGCTTCCGCACGAAGTGTATACCTCGGTTGATGCGTTGATGAACTGTGAGGATATCGCCATGAACATGCTGAGTCAGCAGATCTCCGAGAAGGCGCCTTACCAGGTATGCGCTTTTATTCACTCAACATGGTGATAACAATGGCAAATTTAATCACAACACATTCTCTCCTAGGTGAGCACAGTGACTCGATTTGCCTGTCCTCTGTGCAAGGGCGGACTGTCACGCAAAAAAAGCCACTATCTCATTCGAAGTGCCTGCATAACAAATTTTATTCACTTTTTTGGCTATGATCCACTCAAATACAGCACATTTACCCGAAAGGGTCGGTGAGCACTACGGACACCTCAATTTCCGAGCCCCTCACCTTTCCACTCCAAGTCCCCATTATTTTTGCATTCCTTTTTGTATGCCTCTAGTGCAAATATAAATCTACTACTTGAAAGCTTTTTTTGGTCTTCTCATTGCAACCTGCCAATGTGTTTCAATTATTTTGATCTTAAAATGCCTCTCTGTGCTCCTCCCACCGGGGTAAGGGAGGGCGAGGTAGAAAGTGTGACTGACTTAAAACTGTTTCTGCGCTCAACAAAGGCAAAAAGTCGGACGCTTAGAGGCTGCCCCATTAACTCACTACATCACATTAGATGGTGTTCGATAACTGAAATGAAAATTTTTATTCTTAAGCATACTGGAATGTGTGAATTAAGTGAGGGAAGTTTGAATGAAGTACAGTTGAATTGTTGGTCGGCCTCCACTTTTCACTGTTTGAGTGGGTGATGTTGGGCCTTCGGTGGCACAACATCTGCCCACGTAGCACACCGTCCGTGAGAAGGAACTTTTCTCCGTTGAGGTAGCTTCTTATCGACTTTGAGCGAGCTAAATTTGAGTGACTGTACGCCTTGCCAATTGAAAGCAAATCGCCTTGAAGGTTTAAAGAGTACAAACCAGAGGACATTGTGGAGTCGCCCACGCCCTTCAGCACCCAGTGTGTTGAAAATTACGGTCTAGCTAGAGGTGAGCAAAGTCGCATCAATAGCCAAAATGTAGCCGCAATTTTTTTCCCGCACAAATGCAACTTTTAGGCGTAAACATAAATTCACCCATGTTTGTTGACTTTTATTTTTGTGGATTTCTGTTGCACTGACACTAAGGTAACTTGTGTGAAAACGCACTAACCGTGACATGTGGAGGAAAGGAGTCGAGGAATCTTATCAATGTGGAGAGGACAATAGCAGTCATCGAATTACTCTGCGACTGAAATTCAGCCTGGACTTGGCAATGCTTTTATACTATCACTACAATAGAATTACTCACAGAGGTAGGTTCTGCTTGGCATCTTGACTCCTGAGATCCCTGAGGTCACATTGAACAAATAAGTTATTTAGAATGGAAATAAATGTAGTCTTCTTTGGAACGTTACTGTCCATAGGTGAGTAATATGAGCCCCTGTAAAGAAGAAGGGTTCAATGCTTGTGCATGTGAGGAGGTGACAAATGTTCTGACACATGCGTAGGCATTGCTAGACACACATTTGCCTAACCTTGGGGTGGTGTCAAAGTGTCTGCGTACTGTTATTAATTCAAAGCCATAATCACCAGTAAATACGGTATCCTGTCGCGTCTACCCAACATTTGAGTTTAATATTTTACGTTTGCTCGAAATTTGAAGGTTTCGCCTTCCCCATACACACACACACACACACACCGTTTCACTTTCATGCTAAGGACCTTTGATCTACTATAGATGCTGGAAACTTGATTTTTCATTGTTGCATCAAACTGCTACAATGGTAGTTGCTCCAGAACTTTGGTCTCTGCAATCTCGGTGGCAGCAGCCATTGAATCTCCTCTTCACCTTGAACGAACCGGTAAGGATATTTATGCTTTAAAAAAAATGTGTTAATATTTGAAGGTTCCTGCAGTAAAAAATCCTTGAAACTCTATGCAACGTCTTACGACTCCCTGGTAGATAGAAGAAGGCCTTAAGTAAGGTTGACTACTTGCATTCAAGGGGGAGGGGACGAGGTTGGTCTTTGGTTAGGTCCGAAAGACCAGTTTACGCAGTCCAGAGCCAGATGAACACTAAAGTGAACGCGAGTTATTCAGGTAGGCACATAAACAAAGTACTACATTGTTCCTCTTTCTTAGTCTGAGCAACATCCTGGACGTTACCTTTAGTACACCTCCCGCGCCAGTCATTCGACTACCACTAGACTGAGGCAATCTACTTGGCTTTCTTAGCAGCCTCGACTGGCTCTAGAGTTGCGTTTGTTTTGAAAATAATAACCGAAAACAGAGCGAGTACTTCTACTGACCACCAATTGTGTTCACAGTCAGACGTAGGAACACGAATCTAACATCGGTTAATGGCAAGGACAACTGGATCGAATGGTGTTGTGTGCGGAAAGGTTCAGCATAGCATCATCTATGACATTTATACGTAAATATGATAAGGAAGACTTGTAGGTGTAACTTTTCTGAGGTTTTCATGGTGGTGTCGTTTCATTTATCAATAGCTTGCCTGTGCGACACGAGAATAGGGTGGATGTTAAACACAGACGTCGTTCTCAACTCGCCCTAGGTGGTGAAGGTGAATATTCTCCAACACCGCTAAGTATAGGCTCTTCAAGTGCTTTACGCTGCCATTTGTGTAACGTCTGGAGCCCTTCCATTCAATGGAAGAAGGCATCAAGAAGGGTTGAGTACTTGTATACAGGCTTGACCCGAAGGCCACCTTACGCAGCCTCGAGGCAGATTGGTGCCAACGCAATCGTCAATGATAAACTTAGTCGAACAATAAAATCCTACCCTACATGAGCAAAATTTGTGTTTGTTTCCTCCAAAAAAGTCAAAATGTGGAAGGGGTTTTAGGAATTGTGTGTTGCTTCACAGCAAATCAACTCACTGTGTTAATTTTTCGCATTGTTTTCCCTTCTGAAGGCGGATATTGTCGTGCGATTGGGACATTTTGTGCGAATCATTCACCCACTTTTTTTTGAAATGCATTTGAGCATGGATTAACTAGCCACGTATCTTTACCTTTACCTTCATTGTTGATATGATGGGCTTGAAACAAAAGGTGTCTACTCCCCCCTCAAGACTGTTGAAGAAATGTCTAGCAGCTTCAGCATTACTGTCATCGAAATCTTGTTTGAACCGTTCAACAGGAGTGCGCTCTCCCTTGGAGTACAATGCGATGAGGGATGAAGTTTATTCTGGATCTGGGAGGTCACAGCGATCCCCTCGAGCACAGCGTTCAAATTGATCCCTCGCCTCTGACACTTTCAACAACTCACATGCACTACATAGCTTTTGATAAGATGCAGCGAACCGAAAGCGTTAAACAATTCATTCAGCAGGAGTTGAGAATGAATTGATGTGTGGGAGGCATTCTAGCATTAAACAGGCTCAGTGTATTTAAGAAGACTGCTTTTTGCTTATTTCTTAAAAATAAGCTCTTTAAATGTCTCGGATTTGCCTTTAGCCCCACTTTGTTATCAAAGAGCCTCCTTGTAAGGCACCGATGTCGCAAACATTATGCAACTGTCTACGAAGGTCGTGCCATGACCTCCAATATTCCAATGACCGATAAGGGTGAAAGGTTACCCCTCCATGAGACGTCAAACAAGTTGTGGCATTTAATAAAACTTTTTTTAACTGTGTTTATTGTAATGTCTCCCACCAAGTTTTCTAATTCCTTCGTAGGAGAGAGAATACACTGAAAGGATTTGTTGGGCATAAATGAAGGGGCACAAATCGAAAAGGGGAACGAGTACGGATGGAGGTGTGTCCATGACAGTCATGGAGCCGGGTCGACGCTCTCCTCTGGCACGGTGTTCGATTTTACTTCCCACTCCTCTTCCACAGCGGATACCTCTCTTCGCTCCCGAGTATCCGTTCCTCGGTGCTAGCTTATGAGCCTCCTTCTAGGTCGTCAGGAGGCTTTCATTCCTCTGTCTCGTTCATATTAACATTACTGGGTGAAGCACCACCGACGCTGCCACCACTGTGTTCTCTTCCATCCTCCTCTCTGAATCCTTTGCCTAAGTCTTCGTAGGTTATAAGTTGGAAGAGGGGATTATTACGAGTAGATGCATGTCTACATCAGTATATGTATATGTTACGACTATCATCGATGAAATGGTGAACGATATGGTGGCAATACCGCCAAATCCTGTGTTCAGTCTTTAACCCCTCCCACCTAGTAGGACACAATGTCAATGTTTGCATCAAAACGTTATTTTTGATCGTGACTGTAACAATTCCAACGCCCTACTGTCGCACACAGCCAACGTATGGAAGGTCTGTCGTATCCACTGCATGTGACAGCTCTCCTTCTGTGAAATCGGTGAGCACTTTTACCAACACTTATTTACACCTCTCACACATTTTTCATAAATCCTTCTACACTGCCAAAAAAATAGTGAATATCATTTTCGTCACTCAACTTCTCCTTTGAACCTAAAAGTAACGGTTGAGAGAAAGGAGACGAGGTCATGAGTCACCTCAACTTTGCATAGTGAATGAAATTTTGCAAACCAATTTGCCAAATACACTTTAAGTCTGCAACATTAACAGATGGAAGAGTCATGGAGGGCAAAAATCTCACGTCAACATTCTGGAGCACATCACATTTGTGGGAGTTATGACCTTCAGCAAATATATTATCCAAATTATCCACAATGCGCCTTAACCAAATTTATCGCTCATGGTAACCAAAACTTCGTCTCTCATTGACGAGGTGGTGCCAAGTGGCAGGAAATGTGGCACTCTCACGCCCAAACTACTTCGTCTCTCTCCGACAGAACATATTTGTCAGTAAGTAAATTCTTTTTCTCAACTCCTACTTTCCATCAAACTGTTGAAGTTAAATAATCGACCAGACGTCTAGTGCAATTACATTTCAGTCTCATTCTTACCATCATTTTTTTTATATCAATAATTTTTAGGTGTATGATGAAGCAGTGCAAGTAAACACATTTCTGTTGTTATGCCTGACAAGGAAATCGTCCTCGCGTTTTGCGAGCCACTCCAGCATCATGGAGTGGCATTAAGTCCAGTTAAATAGCCTTAAAGTATGATTTTACGGCTCTGTTGTCGCTGTGGATGTCCAAATGAACCGATTCAATGTCTACGGCACATCCGTTGACTGAGTGACAGTTGACGTCCTTTTGAACTTGGACGGAAAGTAGACGCTGCTAATAAGTAACAGTAAGTAGTTACAGTCAGATTTTGTGCCTCTTATTTGTTGGCTTGACAGTGGACTTGTTGCAGAAACCTCGAACCTCTGGTGCTCCTACGTCACTTGATGATGCTTCTGGTGATCTTCCATTGTATGTCGGTTCGTCAAGTGTTTTGAAAACAGTTTTTTTACCTTTTTTTTAAACCGGGACCTTTCTGGCTGCTACTGAGAGGGCCATTTCTCATGACTTTCGTGTACCTAACTCCTACAATTTTTTGGTGTAAATTTTATTGGCCTCTTTAATTTACCAAAGTTCCACTTTGTTTTAGTCCCTATCTCCCCCGCCCCCATTTGTTGAAGTAATTCATCGAATGGGAGTTATTGTGGACCGCGTTGCTTTTAACAGTAAAGACGAGTAACTTTGAAGAGAGGAATGGAGAGGGCAGCCTGCAATTTGGTTATTGCATCCTGACTTGGACAACTTTTCCCCTCAACCAAATCATACAGCTGGAAAGGCTGGTAGGCTTCCATGGTAGCCCTCTTTGGAGGACAGCAGATCTATGCATCTTGGAATGAAAATGTTGCAAAAAATAACTCCTGGTTGCAGTTTTCCACCATCAATTCAATGTCAGCTGCACAAGGAATTAAGTCTTACGCGTTTTTGGCATTGTCATAGAAGTCCTGATTCCAACTCAACCGCTCAAAGAAGGATGTTCCATTCTATTAGCTCTCTTTGTGTATCTCTTTTATCACTTCCACCAATTTTGCAGTTAACAATAAAGAAAAGCTTCAAAACTCTTTATAAGAGGTATAAATATTCCCTTTCACAATTTCCACAAAAGCTCGAAGCTGCTGCTGCTGTTACTACTGTGGAAGTGCTAGCGATTGCTGGCCAACAGACTGGAACTCCTGCCTAGGTCCATCTTACTCTTGTCAAGCATAAGCCACATACAATCAAGGGACATTCGAATTCCGCTTGTTTTCAAAACTTTGCATCGGCAATGTAGTTGTTACTAATGGGAATTAAGTAGCAACTTTAAGTCAACAGCTCTTGTTTAGCAACACGAAAATTGAACTTTTCGTAACAAAGCGTAAATTTCTTCGGTTATTCTCTGCAGTGAAAACACGATTTTGCGTGTGATTCCGTTGCAGCCCTTTTAAAAGATGTTTGGAAGAGAGAAATGGCAATCGATATGATCCAAAAGTAGGGTCGACAGCTTTGCACATTTTGAACTTCTAGGACCTAATAGCCACGGATCGAGACTAATAAAATTGGTTAATAGGAGTAAAGGTTATGTGTCTGTTCCACATCATCATAAAAATATAGGCTTATTTAAAAGCTGCCACCTTTATTAGTTCGTAAACAATCTGTCAAGTGCATGGAAATGTGTCAGGTCTATTGTATGAAAGCACAATTTTAGTATAACGGGAGTTATGAAGTCAGTAAAAGAAGGAGATTTTAAACGTAAACAATCAGATATTCCTCCAATAGACCCAAAGGTGGCTTGAAATTACACTTTGTTCGATCAAGTAGAAGTGATGTTTTAAAACTTTAATGAACCTGTTTATAGTGCTGAAGCAGAAAGTCGCACTGATACAGTAAATTGCTATCTGGTATCCATGTGAACGGTTAAGCATCGATGAAATGTACATGGTTGGCTATCTAGCCGCAAAATCATCAGCTTTTCCTTTGTTCTACCCTATCATTTAGACAAAGAAGAAGCTTCTAATTATGCTGGATTGATGTATTAGCCTTCTTCCGCTTCTTCGTCCATTAGGAGAGGAGGAAGCTGCCCCTAATTCCCATCTGTTCTGCCCCATTCCACCCCTTTTAGGACGTGTCACTTTCACGACCCATTCGCCTCACCCGAGTCACTTATGCCGAGTGGAATTAATGTTGACTCAGATGCTGTGGAATGTCAGATTCAATTATGCCATTGTTAATTTCCCCAGATCTTAGCCTGCCATATATCTTCGCTAAATATTATTTAAACTGATATCTCCAAAGCAATATTAAGTATTACATGGGACAAGTTGACACCATTTTGGTTTTTCATTTTATCGCTTTAAATGAAAATAAATACTTCTACAAAATCACATTGCTTCCTTTTGACGAGCTTATAGTCCATATAGTAGTTTTTTCTTTTCTAAGGAATTCAACAATACCTCACTTCTCCTTCCTTTAAAATGCCATGGACTATAATTTTCGTTCAGCAGTGAAAAAGGCCCTGAGGCACGTTATAAGAGGTCGTTAGAGGTAGATAATGAACGGTACCACAAACAAGTCCACCCCCGGGCAGTTCTCCAAACCGCGTGATTAAGGCGCTGGGATGAGTGAATTTAAAATTAAGACTTGTATGGTTCGACTAATGACTACAGATCAGGCTTTTGGCAAGACTCAGCAATTGGAAGAGAATCTCATCTATTTTCACTCTCCATTTCACTACGAAGGTCAAATAGCCTCTTTAAGTTGCCACGTTCATTAGTCCGGAGGGTGACTACCAACTGAGTAAAAGGGCAAGGTCGGTCCCATTGGAAATTTATGCCTTATCCATTCCTCTGATAACTCAGTCATTTTTTAATCCACAGAGCAAATTTGTTCTTGCAAAGCAGTTGTAACTTCGGCTGGTACTTTTTTATAATAGGCAGAGAACCGCAAAGAACTTTTCGCTTTGAAATATTCATTGACGTAGTCTTCATCAGAATCAAAACCCCTTTCATAACGGAACATAAATTTGAGAATTTTACGTCTGCGCACTGGTTCACCTCTTAAAGCATGTGATCAGGCTGCAGCCGACTCACATCCAGTCTATCTCGCTCATTCAATAGTCCTGAGGGGCCAAACCACGCCTCGACCTCCGACAGGACCACTAACTTTTCCTTGCTTTAAAGACAAGGTTTGGCAGACTCATATTTGCAACGATTATCACTAGCAATAGATTACTCTACTATCAACCAACTTGCGATCCAAATTTCACTTTAGCTTGCTAGTTGCCAGCGTTGAGGCATCGTTGATATCCTTATTTTTTCCTTAAACCTGGTGTCGCGATTATATTAGTAAATATTTAAAGTTTTTTACCGTTTATGTGCTCTAAGACTGGCAACACACACAGCTTTACAATTCTAAACAAAAGCATGCAAATTTTACCATGTCTCGTTAGAGGTATGCTACTTACAAAACTACTTATTTAACCACATCAGCGGAAATTTCGCTTGTTTAATGCTCATCAAAATAAAAAAGTAAACATTGTTTCAAGATTCTTAAATCTTCTTCCCGATGCATACGTGAACTTTTAATGGAGGACTTCGAGACATATATAATTCCATAACCTAGATTGTATCACAATATCTTTCTCGAACCACATACCTAATCGTAGAGTAAAATTTACTAGTTTAGTCACCACAGCGCAACTCCGATTTTAGACACACACGAAATGACATTTTGATTGCCGCTTCATTGCCTAGAATGTGAGGAAAGTAAATGAATGCCATTACAGTCCTTCCGTTATGACCCTCATCAAATTAACCAATATCTTCCGATAAGTTGGAATGAGAATAAGAAAGCTAGCAGCCAGTAATTGATAAAAATAAGTACAGTTAACCAGCATTTCGTGCCACCGAATTTATATTGCCTTTAGATTGTGATTATTGTGCTGAGGGCTTCCTTCCTTCATTCACTATGGAATAAGAAATGACATAGGGAATTCGGTTATTTTTCAAACGGCAAAAATTACTTGCAATGTGAAAGGGAAGCAATTTTTGTGCTCTACCCCCAGTTAAATTAGTTACGCATTTAAAGACATTGTATCTGATCAACCCAGCAATGCCTACATAGTAAGAGGGGTAATACACTATTCCTCATGTTGAACAGAGATTTAGGAATTTTGAGGGTCATTGGTGTGAAAGCGAGACATTGCTGGTGTCATTTTCGCGTGTACGTGCGCTAAACCAGACGACGAGCCATTCAGCGTGTGCGTTCACCCGCCTTCTCTCCTGATTGGTCGGCCACTTTGTGTTAGCGGACGCCACTTATTGGCCATGTTCCCGATACCGATCCCATATTACTTTCCGACTTAAACGCGCCAAACCACCGATATCTACGTATCATGAATGCAGGCGAGGGCAAAAAATTCTCCGCATTCTCAGCTCTAAGCCTCCTAGATTCAAGCCCTCCGACTGCATTCCCAGAGGATATGCCCACCCAGAAGGAGGTACTGGCGGCATTTGTAGCTGCTCGTGCTGCACTGAAGTGGTCTTCCGAAGATGATATTTATGCTAGAACACAAGAGATTATTAAGATTTGTCAAAATCTTGAAAATGCTGGAAACGTTGATTGTCTGTGTCAGTTTATGTGGTCTCTTCCAAAACGTAATGATCTGTGGGAGGTTTTGAATCGTGACGAGGTTATCCTTCGGTCTCGGGCTCTGATTGCTTTCCACACTCGAAATTTTACTGAACTCTACTCCCTTCTGGAACATCATAACTTCTCTAAGGCAAGTCATGCAAAGATGCAGGCTCTATGGTTGGAGGCGCACTATCAGGAAGCTGAACGGTTGCGAGGTCGTGCACTCGGGCCGGTGGATAAATATCGAGTGCGAAAGAAGCATCCACTGCCCAAAACTATTTGGGATGGTGAGCAAAAGACGCACTGCTTTAAAGAGAGGACACGGAGCCTTTTGAGAGAGTGGTACCTTCAAGATCCCTACCCCGGGCCCAACAAGAAGAGAGAACTGGCCAATGCCACAGGACTTACACCGACTCAAGTTGGCAATTGGTTTAAAAATCGTCGACAAAGGGACCGGGCAGCTGCTTCAAAGAGCCAGTAAGTTTGCTTCTATAGTCACTTAAAATTTTAAAGTTAAGCAAATTTACAGACTTCATGCTTAACATAGAGGCCATGCTATTCTATACAAATGTTGAATTAATGCTTTGATGGTTTTCTTCAATGCTAATCATGAAATGGTGAAGAGTTTTGGTGATTCGTGTATCCATTTAGAGCGCCAAACCAAACTACTACTTCGGAAGTAGTAGCTTTATGGTTCAACCTCCAGAGCTGATTTGGCAATGCTTGTCATCAAAAGTTATAAGGTCTTCAAATTTTCTAGACGAATACTTCTGCCTGAGGAGAGCGACGAAGAGATTTCCGTTGACACGAAAATGCTACCTTCAAGTTCACCATTAATGAACCAAGTGGAACAGTTCTCCTCCCCTCTGGTAGGCCTGGATGATGCTAAGCTGACCAAGCCCAAGCCTCTACCATCTCCGTCAAGGCTGTCTTCGTTCAGTGCTGAAGCTCTGATTGACAGAAAGCGCTCCTTTCAGGAGTCATTTGGAGAAAAATCACTTGGAGATGATTGCCTAGGACGGGCACTACCAATGATGCCACCAATCTCAGTGGCAATGGCAAACTTGATTCCGGACTTTCGTTCCACTTCCCTGCCCCAGTGGTATTTGCAAGCATCCTATGCTCTCTCAACCCTCTTACCGCCCGATCTAAGGGGTTTGGTGCCTCAGCTTCCATCTTTCATGTTTCCCTCACTGTCACCAACCAATCTTCTCCTTCCACAGTTCCCCGTGGAACAGACGACATCATCCTCTTCGTCCTCCTCCTCCTCCTCCGCTTCCTCCTCTTCCTCCTCCTCCAAAACTCAGGAGTCAGAAACTGCGACTTCTTTGTGATTTTTTTGTTTGTTTGAAATGTGTGTATGAATGATTTTTTGAAGCATCACTTCTCTTTTTTGTGGTCGTTATTGTCCAACACACATAGCAAAGCCCTACGTGTCACCCAAATCCGGCATCACAAATGATGAGCACATTTTGATTTGAGTAAACAAGTAAACTGATGAAAAAAAAAACAACAAAAAGTGCTAATTCTAGGGTTAGCCTTTCCTGCCTTTTTAACTGTCGTGTAATCTTGGCATCTTGGTGAATCTTCGGTGGTGATTTTAGCGCCATTTTCTGGTCTTAAAATAATGAGAGTGCAATATGATTTTTTACCGTTTTTTTTCCATTGATCGTATTACTGCCAGAAATAAGGCAAAGCAATGACATCTTCTATTCTGACACTTCCTAGCACCCCAGATCATGGAAGCTTCAAGGTTTTTTGGAAAATTTTGTTGCTAAGGCAAGTTATACTTCTTTTATTTCCTTTCTTTTTCTTTCGTCCTAAATGACCACCCGATCCGTAATAAAGTTACCTTAACTATGACAGATGGCGCATTTTAGTCTTAAATTATGCATTTTTTTTTTACTATTTGACCAGTTGGCAGTAAGGAAAGGGCAATACCGATGTCTGAAACTTCGCAAAGGTCAGTTGTGATAGCACAGGTGAAGGCGTGATCATGGAAGGGGACTTTACCTCCTTGAAGGTCATGTGACTTCTATGCGCACCTCTGTAGCACTTCAAGCCAGAAAGATCGGAAAATTTTCCCCTTTAAACTGTCAATTTGATCCAATTCAGTTGAATGTCAAATAGGTATGATTGGCAGTAAGAGGAAGTAGGAAGCCACCTATTTTTTTCCCCATTAAATGTTGAGACAATGATTTTATGTCCTGCAAGATTGGGTGCACGGTTTCGTATAAATCACAGGTGGCGGGGATACCACTCTTGAATGCCTCCCTTCTCTCTCTCACCCTTTTTGGGGGGTAGAGGCAGGGTATCTAGCCACACCCCCTTCTTCTCCCGGTGGTCCACGAACACCCTCGGGGTGTCACCAAACCCTCTCTCTTTCCCTCTTCGTGTTACTGTGACATTTTCATTTAGTAAAGGTCAGCCACGGAGAATGTGAGAGGATTAGGTGAAGGAGGAAGAGGAATGTGGGGCGCCTACCCCCATGTACACAGGAAGTGTGCGGGTGCACACATGCACACACACACACACACACTTAGGCACATGGTTGTGCTTGTCTGCTAGCTTCCTCCTGTGGCTCCATGATGAGATAAATAGCCTTCGTGAAAGAGTTGATGTCTTCTTTTTCCTTTCCCACTTGATAACGAGGTCATAACAGTAAGTTTCTTCGTTTCTGTCTCTGTCGGGTCCGAATTGCCTCCCTGTAGAGGTGATGCATTAGGCTTTCAGCGGCACAGCTTCCCCTCTCCCCTCCTCCATCCGCCTCTTCCAGTTTTAGTGATTACTAATTTTGTATAATTAATTTTCCAAAACCAAGCCATATTTTTTTTTATCAATCTAAAGTGGCAACTGTCTCCACCTTTAATTGCTTGACATTTTGTATGGGTAAACGCACTACTGGTTTTGACCTTCCAGAAGACATGACAACAATTTCAGACCTTAAAGCCACCATATTAATGCAATTGTTTACTTTCCAGTGTGTTATATGAGAGAGATTGCAACCTATGTTTCGTCACCAAATCTACTAAAATTAAATGAGTTGCTGGTTGCTCCATTCCTCTACTGGTGTGACAGGAGGTCCACATTCCTTGGCTGAAATTCATCATCACCTCCCATTCTCTTAAACTCTTTGATCACCAAAGATGACACACAACCTTGTTCAGAAATTAGCTAGCACTGTATCAGGCCTTTAAATTTGCATCTTTAAAAAGCCCCTTTGGTGACTTATTAGGGTACATTATGCAGCACTAAATGGGACCACTTTATGCAGTTGACCAAAATCCTCACCTTCCGTGGTGCAGAGGATGGTAGTCGAGTTGTCATTAAACTAAATTTTAATTATGTTCTATCACTATCTTCACCTTTTGACTGCCTCCTCTTTGGTGTCCGACTATGGTCCACCTCGCCACCATATGCCCAGATGCCTTCCCAAGATAGTGGATCAAACACCTGCCGCTAAGTGCTGCGATTCAAAGGCGGGGGTCGACGCCAACACACACATACATGACATTTCTCGGTTGTACGTTACATGCATTAATCGAAAAGGGGGAGAAGGAGGAGGCGAGAGGGGCAAGAAGAAGGTGAAGGGGGAGGAGACGGCAATGACGGTGCCCATTTTAATGCAGTACAATGAAATATACTGTCGCGACACTCATCGGCATCGCGATGTTGGTGTTAAACTGAAACCCTTCAGCTGACTAAATGACCTCCAGTCATAACTAAGGGCTCGAAGTCTCTCCGCTAACACGACTCCCATGATTGGTGGACTTTTTGAAAACAACGCAAGTTTCCTCTCCTTATTCTATGCGTTTTTTAAGTGTTTTATTTGCCATTGACGTTTGATAAGATTGATTCGTGATTAATGTAAATGGAGAAATTTTAGGCCACCTTTGTTTAAAAGAAGAAATGATATATTTTTGCTTCTATGTATGCACCCAGGGGAGGGCACGATGGTATGCGACACAACGAACTTTGCTGACCATTAGTTGCACAGTTATGCTTGTCTATCAATCAAGGGCAAATTGACTGACCTCCCCAGGTAACCATCCACGAGTGCAAATAAAGCCGGTAACCACTTCGATGTTGACATTTGCAAGTAGGCTGATGGTAGTGAATAAAACGCTTCGAGGTGTTGTGCCTCGTCCTTCTTCCTCTTCTTCTTCTTCTTCTTCTTCTTCCCGTTATTACAGCACAAAGGACATTTGGAAGACCTTATTAATCACCTCACAGGAGATCTGGGGACACATGCACACATACACACACTTATCCCCTGATAAACAATATGCAAAGGTAAATAAAGGCTGATTTTCTTCCATCCTTACTTTTTGTACTTTCTTCCCCTGAAGTACAAATGACCTGTTAATCAGTGTCTCAGCCTTATAGGGGAGAAACACATTGTATCGGATAAGGGGAAGGGCTTGGGATTTATAGAATGATTCAGACGCACACACACACACATAAATGCCACTTTTACTGGATAAATCGAGTTCTTAGTAAACACTTCATTGTCTAATTTGTGGGAGGGAAAAAGTGGAACCCCAAGAAGAACCAAATGTAGATTGGTCTGGTGGTGGCTTGAATGAATGCTTTTGCACCTATGGTAGGGCCTCTCCGTTTTTTTTACATGTCTCCTTTTTACAGCCTGACATTTATCGCTTACCATGAAGCCAGTGTCATCTAAGTGTGCACTAGGTCCCGCTTTTTCCCCTCCCCTGTCTTGCCCTCTCGCTCCCTCGCTCCCTCTCTCCAATTCAGGCGAATAAGGACCCACGCACGCACACCTGCAAACGCGCCAGGCGAATGTATGTGTGTGTGTGTGTGTGCGTGTGCAAAATCCAGTCCATAAATTACGGCGCGACATTTGCCCAGTGACGGCTTGAATCACTCGATCGGCCATCAACATCGCCCTTCCCCACCCACCAACATAAAAACCGTTTCTTTCCACCACCACCACTACTTCCTCCTCGCCTTCCACTTCCTTGGGTGACAATCTGTGTGTTGCTACCTGCATAAAAGAAAGCCACTTGCATGGGGGCACAACTGCATTCCGGATAAGTGCCGCTCCCTAATTGCCTGAAAAGGACAAATTGTCATCATGGGGGTGTGAGCGGGAAGGTGAGAGTGAAAAAGATAGAGATTGGTGCCAGAGGCCCCCACACTCTTGACCAGAACGTCTGCCTGGTAGACTGTGACGAAAGACATACGAGAGCATTCAATAAGTTTAAGCCAATGGTTTGCCAAAGTAAAAAATATTATATAAATCAAGTCAATGGAAAATTGTTATAACGCAAATTTCAAATACTAAAGTGAAAACATTGTTTGAATATGCACTTTTTTGATCGGTTCAGATATAAAGTGGGAACAATATGTTTGAATTCAAAAAAAATAATGCAGTCATTCAAAAAGTAGGTGATTTGCGCGAATCAATTGAATTTGGTAGGCTGTAAAAGGGCCTTAATGACACAATAAGACGTGCACTGCGAGCTAACTAAGGGGTAAATATAAATTAGTAGCACATATTTATGCGCCATAGTATGGTTAAAAAAGTTTTAGAGTGTTTTCAAAATACCAAGACAATAATCCTTAAATTGCTGGCCTATCGGAGTAAACAGGCCTTTGCACACGGAACTATATGTGGGATTCAAGTGACTCCAGTTACAAACACCCACTCACGCTATCCATCGCCTAGTCATCCGGCATACAAACTTCTCCCATCGCACGATTTTACATAGTTGATGCATATTTTGCCAAATTTTGGCAAAGAGAGTTGAAGTCACTTCCTTCCCATGGTGCCTGTGCCATCATCAATAACACCTTGCTCGTACCAACCATACACCATCCACTCCTCACACATTCAAGACACGGCTGAACACCACACGATAGGAGGAGCGAAGGCAATACGAACAAGCGAGGAGGCCAAATACCAGGCAGGAAGGGAGAGGGAAGGAGGGAAGGCGGGAGGGGTGGAGGGAGGGAAGGAGGGAGGGAAGGGGAAGAGTTGAAGAAGGGAAGAAGGAAGGAAGGAAGGAGGGAGGGATCGTCCTCCCCTCCACCAATAACCTCCTCAACTGCCACGTGTCTATCAAACCAATCCAACTTGTGCCTTAATTATGCATGAAGTGGTACGCAGTGTGCACCACGTACACGTGTGACCCCAATCCCCACCATGATCTGAGCACAGATAAGACGAGGAGACAGATTGTTCGCCTCAATCCCCTTTCACTCCACTGCATCATCTCCGCCCTACCCAATGCCACGCTTCAGTGATGGTCACATAAGTGAACAAAACACGCGTCCACCCGACTGTCCTCGTTTGTCTGCAGTGAACACCGGGTGGACCACTTGATCATCCAATCGCCTCAACTACCGTGCGCACCACCATCACCACCTCCACCTCCTCCTCCTCCTTCTCGCCACTCTCCTCATTCATGCAACATCAATGAAAGCAGCCTCGGAATATATCTA